CACATAAATATTTAAGCTTGTGTTCATGATGAAATTGCTTGAAATTTTATTCTTCTAAACTTCTCCAAATACAAGATAACTAAATTTATTTCCTTCTAGAATGAAAGGAAAAAGTTATTTTTGCAGAATTTCTTTGAATAAATAATAATCATAAATTATTAAGATTTCTTTAAAAAAACCCTTTTTCAAATAGATTGCTTGAAAAATCTGTCAATACTAGGTATTTTCGTTTTGTTTGATTTCTATTTTTTGTTCACAGAAAATTTCTGGAATTTTTTTAGGCCCAGAAGACTAAATGGAGTGACCTAAAAGTTTCTATTTTAGTAAGTGGGAAAAGGGAATGATGTTATTTCCCATATTCTTTATGAATATGAAGTCAGTTCAAAAATAGGTAGATTAATGAAAGTTTTCAGAAATCCGATTAAGAAGTAATTTTGCCTATCTTTTTAATATAAAAGAGGGTTTCCAAAAGCACTTCACTCATTCTGATTTCTAGGAAAAAAGACTGTCATTTCTGGAGCAATTTTAATAAATATTTATTTTGGATAGGATAGATTATGTGTTAATATTAATCAATTATTAGTTTTGATTCCATATAATATTGATATATTTTATGAAAGAGAATACATATTTGATATTATAGAATTGAATCAACAAAGAATCTAGAATTCTTTTTAGCAAGAGTATGATTTATTGTAGTTCTTGTGCCAGTTTCATTGATTTTTCTTATTCCAATATTTTCTTATCATTGAATTATCTGAAACTCTATCATTTATTTTTTCTATAACAGTTTGAGTAATTCTCTTATTGAAATTATCTACTTTCTTGATGTAGACTATTATTAAAAGCTATTTTGCAAAGTTTTCTATAAAGAAATATATATTTAACACTAAATAATCATCAAAATATTTATACCTGTTATTTAACTAATGCTTATTCCTCATTCAATTTGTAATTAAAGCAAATTACCATAATGGTTTAATTTCCTACATCGTCAGTTCTGGAACTCTAACAAACACAACTTTGGATATATAATTAATTAAGACTATGCTCTTTTAGTTATTTCAATCTTTTCATTCAATTCTCCAATAATTCTATTTTTTTTTCTTTTTAAAAATTAAAAGAATATAGCATTCCTTTACTCACTTGGAATAGTTTCTAACCCTCTTGTTCTTTACTGAAATAAAGAATAGACCTTATGATCCTACAGCTAAATTAAAAGCAATTACAATTGCTTTGAAAAATAATTTATCCTAAATAGACTTTTACTCTAGAACTAAAGCTATGAATTTATTAGGAACTAACTCACAGATTTTAGATTAAAGTCATTAATCTTGCTGCTATATTGAACACAAAAATTAAAATCATAAATCATAAGATTTTGGGTTTTGTTAAAGAGAAATTTATTTTAGAAATATTATTATTATTATTATTATTATTATTATATAACAATAAATAAAAATAATAAATAATCTGAATTTATTCTTTTTTGTAATTTAGTAATCAGAAATCGAAAAAATAATTAATATTTATTACTAAAATCTAAAAAAATCTCTAAATAATGGAATGTTAGTCTAAAAAGTCTTGATGTTCAGCTTGGAAATTAAATTAAAATTTATTTAAGGTAGATATGAATTAGAAATCTTCCCATTCTTTAAGAAGATTTATGAAAGTTCAATTGAATTAGACTTATTTATTCAAGTCAATAATACAAAGAAACTTTCTAAAGATTTTGGAAAAACCTTGATATAACCTCTTGATTCAAATGAATTTATAGTATTATCTAACGTTAGAATATATTATTACAAAGGTAGAAGCAATTAATTTTAAATTAGATTCCAAAAGAATAGATAGATTTAAGAGTGATTTGAATGAATTTGAGGGGAAGTAAATGGCACTAAGGAAACCCTATTAAGAAATTCAATTTAAGTTCCTGTTTTTCAAAAATATTGGGTTCGAAATGTGACTAATTTTCTGAAGAGCTTCTTTATCGATGTCAAGGATTGTTAATTTGAGTATTTTACGATTAAGAGATTTAAAATATTAGTTTTTATATTGTAAAATTGAGACTACGTTATAATTGTTGAATATTTATGCCACGAAATTTTTTTCAAAAAAATATTAAAAATTTTTATTTAAATGGAAAAAACTTTTTTGGCAGTGGGTTTAATGATGTTGTTGGGAGCCAGCTTCTTCTTGGATAATACCTTAGAAGTATCTGATGAAACCAATAAAGCAAGTCTTTTCGATAATTGGAAAACAAAGTATAATATATAATATCCAAACAAAATTGATGAGAGATATAGATTATAGGTTTTCATTGAAAACCTTAACTACATCAATGCTTTCAATCAAAGTCCAGAAGAAAAAACATATACTTTAGGATTGAATGAATTTGCTGATTTGAGTTAAGAAGAATTTGCAGAGATTTATTTGAAACTCAGAGTTCCAAATTCAGACAATAAAGATCCTAAAGACAAAAATTTCAAATACACATAAGGAGCAATCGATTGGACTGATGGATCGAAAATTATATACCCTGATGTTAAACACTAAGGAAAATGCGGTTCCTGCTGGGCGTTCGCCACAATAGGAGCAATTGAAATGAACTCTCAATTAGTTTACGAAAAATTATATACTTTATCTGAATAAGAACTAATTGATTGTTCAGGACAATATGGAAATTTAGGATGCGATGGTGGTTGGATCGATAAAGCAGTTGATTATGTTGCAATAAGAGGTTTGTCTGACATTAAAGATTATCCATACACGGGTGTGGATGGAGCCTGCAAGTGGAATAGAAGATCATTCATCCATTTTGTATCCACAAATAGAATAAATAGTTGTGAAGTCTTAGCTTTTAGCGTCTCCTACGATATAATTCCTGTCTATGTTGATGCCACTCTTTGGTAATTTTATAGTAATTTTTTACATTTAATGAATAGAAAATGGAATCTTAACGACATGTGATAAAAATTTGAATCACGCTGTTATTGTTGTTGGTATTTCATCTGATGGAGTTTGGAAGGTCAGAAATTCATGGGGAGCTGCTTGGGGTGAAGCTGGCCACATTAGACTTGCATAAGGTGATACTTGTGGCATTTGCATTGCGCCAGAAAGTGTTGCCCTTCATCATTGAAAAGTTTAATAATTATACAACAAAAAATCATGTTATCTTATTGTCTCCAGATCTTCTAAACAAAAATAAACGAATTTATCCAAACTATATTTAGAAAAAGCCAGCTCATAATTTAGAAAATAAATTTTACATCGATATAGCCTGATAATGTTTATATTTTTTATTTATGGTCAATTTACAGAAAAAAATATCTACCTAGCCTGTTTTAGATATCAATAAGCTATCAAATATGACTGAGAAACTAATCTTGATTTTTAAAATGCATTTATTTAATGGGGTAGCAATTCTATAATCGAACTAAAGCAAAGTCTTTTGAAGGTGCTAAAAACATATTTTCAAACACTTTATGCTTTTTGCCTGCAATGAAAAAAAATTTCTAATATTAAATATGCAGCTAGTTTAATGATGAAAGGTTAAAAAAACATTTTTGACTTAAACAAAGGTTTAGGTAAATTTAAAGATTAAAAAGTATATAAAATATTTAATCTCTAATTTAACTGCACTTTTTATTCTAATTTTGAGGATATGTGATATATGATTTGGTAGCAATAAATCATCTCATCAATGATCTAACTTTTTAAGATATGTAACCAAACCTATTTACTTTTCGAATAATTATCATCTAAAGTTGCAATTCAAAAAGAATAAATATTTGAAGCTGTTATTGAAATAGTTATTGATGCATAACCGCCATAACAATTTTAAGAATTTTTAAAACATTAAGTTGTATAATCAGATAAATAATGAGGTCTCCAATATCCTTCATTTATATTTATTTAATTAGATTTTATTCCTGAGAATTTTTATTTATCAAACATTAAGCATTTTGAATCATTTGAAGTAATTGAATAAAAACATCTGTAAAATTAGGAAATTTGGAAAATAAGATCAACATAAAATTCTTCCAATTAATCTATACAGGCGGTTACTTTTATAATGCGCTACAATTATTTAGAATGATCTTAAATATGACAAGTTATTATTAGACTAAAATGAAACTTTAACAAATTTATATTGAAATTATTGAAACTTGTATTGTATATTTGTTCACCGATTTTGTGTACAATTGCCAGGTTACATAACTATCTGAATTAACTTGATGAAAAAGCTGTTCATTATAACAATTCTTAAAATATAAACTTCGGTTAGTGAAAATTTTAGAATGAAGATTTCTTAGAGGTGAAAATATCAAAATCTTGAATAACTTAATTAATTGGTATTTTTAGATCCACACTTTTTGCTTTTTATTCTTGCTTTATTGTTGTGTAAGGCTTTAATTTTCAAACACTAGTTTCTGTTTCCTTCCAAAAATTTGGTAGACATAATTTTTATATAGTTGATATTGAGACTTTACTAAACGCTAAACTTGTGGTACATACTACAAGATTACTTCCAAAATTGCTTGCTTAATTCAAAATTAAAATATACTCAACAAAAGTACTTTATAGGTTGAAGCTTTAATTCAAATATGTTTCTCCTGATTTAATGATATAGCTACTATTTTTCAAATCAAAATATAAACCCCCGCCCCCTTATTTGCAGTATGATTAATAATTAAGCAAGAATATATAAGATACCAGCTCCTTGAGAAGAAATTGAAACACATTTGTTACAACTGTTATTCAGAATATTAGAATTAATCACTTAAAATTCTGCTTAAGATGATTGAATTACTTTTATGCAACCATAATTTAGTTTTTAGTTATAGAAATAATTTAAATCATAAATTGTGAGCTTTTCAATCTTTTAGATATTCACATAATCAAACCATTTGTACAAAAAAAAAAGTACAATTATTTCTTATTATCTTAATTAGATTAAAAATTTACTATTTTAAACAATCTCCTTTAAATTCAAAATATCAATTTTAACAATAATTTTTTATATCATTTTTGATAATTAATTAAATTTATGTATTTTTCTGACAAGTTTTGCAGATTTTTTCATCAATATTATATGGACAAATGCAAACTTTAACAAGAGCCAGATATATTCTTTGTGATTTAATTGAGCAAGAAATACAATCAAATTTGGCTGGTCCATCTGCACGTTTAACAATTTTAATGCTATAATTTTTATCGACCTTTTATTCACTGTTATAAAGATTAAACTTCTGGATTAAATATTTAAATATTCATTTGGATTTAATTTTATGTTCCAGATTATAATGTGAATTTACACTGTTAAATTATATCACATTAATTCTAAGATTGACGATGAATTAATTTAATCACTTATATAAATTTTATTAACATATCAAATTGGTCCTTATATTTGTACATTTAAAAATGCCAAACACTCACTAAATTTATTATATCAAACTTTCTATATAATTAGTATTGAATTTTCCTCAAAAATTACAGTTGTTTATGGAAAATATAGTTGTGAGTAATTATGATTATTTCATTTCCAGCAGGAAAAAGTTTAACTCATAGTTAAAAAGGGATAAATTGAGATCGGATAATAGCCTTGATAATTCTATACTAATTTGGTTGATTGATAAAATAATTCATCTGATGCTGAAACTACCTTAATAAATATGAACCGTCCAGAAAAAGCAAAGTTATCAAAGTTATAATTATCCGAAACAAAAATTATTTTATCTAATTATTTCAAATTTACTCCAAGTATCTCAAAATTCTCTTTATTTTAACAATTGCAATTTCTATATGGCTCAAACGATTCCAGTCTATAAATTCTTAGTCTAAATCGAATGACAATAATGAAGATCCAAATAATTTCAATATCATTTTACCTGGAATGTATTAAGTTTTCAGATTTTTTTGATTGTATAAATAAATACTTTCCTCACATTTATGCTTTTAATCTCCACCAAAATTCATAATGATTCTAATATCATTAAACGGATATTTTATATTTAAACTTTGTTTCATGGTGCTTTTATCTAATTATATTTTCATTTACTCAAATCTGTTGATTCTAGAGTTAAAAGTAAAACCAAATAATTTTAGACTCAAAATAATCCATATTTAATTCTAAATGATGCTGTTATCCTTCATTATCTATAAATTATATAGTCATATTTATATTTTCTAAGTTTGATAATCCAAGCAATTATAATAAATTAAGTTCAAACGAAAATTTTTTTTTGTCGTCAACCTTGTGAAAGCGAAAACAATCGATATAAAATAAAGTAATCATTCCAACTTAAAAAATATTAATCAGAGGATTATATTTTGACCATATTGTATACCCATATGAGAATTCATTTGATTCTCAAAATTAAGGTATATCATTTTTCCTCTGATGAAAATTAATGAAATGAATCCATTTCCTTCATCTTAAAAGCTCTCACTTTGTGAATAAGCGCTAGATTTGAGATAACAAATATCATTTTCATTTATTAATCAATGATATATCGTAGATATATAAACGTTAGTCTTTGCTTTAATTTTAAGAATTCAGAAAATAAATCTAATTTAAACCTAATACCTCATTCTATACTGCAAATTCAAAGATTGCTGTAAAATAGAATAATTAAAATTCTGGTTAAAGATTTGATGAATCTTAAAAATTTATCTAGATAATAATTTGAAGTATTATGGGTTTAAATTTAAAAACAAATCAAAATTTTAGATTATTGCCAACCATATTTTCGAATCAGAAAAAAAATGTTGTTTTATCTTTGTTTATCTTCTCAAAGCTTTTAATTTGAATTTATTGAAAAATTGAAACTTTAACAACTATGTATAATTTCTAAATAATTTTTACTACGTTGGATGGGTTAAATATTTATTAGAATCTACTTAAAATTTGTAACTACACATAAAACCTTAGTAGGGATTGAATAATTAAATAGTAATCCAAAAAATGTTTATTTTTAATCAACTTTAAATTTCTCATAAATTATGAATGCATAGTTTTTGGAGAGATTTATCTATGAAAAAGCTGCCTAATAAACAAACATCTCTGTTTCCTTTCACATTAAGAATTCACAATACTTTATCAGATTTTGAAAATATATTTTTCCAGCTGTATGAGAAAAAATTAAATATCATTTTTTAAATTTGGTTTCAATTCTAATTAGAAATTATGGTAATTTTGCATCACTTCTTTAAAATACAGATATGCATATCTTTAGAATTCTTAGATTCTTCTACTGTTATAATCTGATTCGCCTGCTTATTGATAATAAGAATTTGGCAAGAATGTTGAAATCTATTTGTAATTTAACTAAGTTGACAAATTTCTTTTTTGAACTTAAATAGATTTAAGAGGAGTTTTCATAACAAATTATGTTAGGAAAAGAACAAAATTATATAAAAAGTGGGAAGCATATTGACTTTAGAATCTCGAAAATTCTTTTTAGAAAAACAGATCTTGAATTTTACAGGAATATCAATAAATTAAATACAGATACTTTTCATAAATTACAAAAATACCTATCATTTAATCATTTACAAATAAGTTGCTTAAGTCCTCTACAATTCGCTAATAGATTTTAATAAAATTCCATTAATAAAAACATTAATTAAATCAATATTGATATACCTATTAAACATATAATCATCCATCCTATATTATATTTTTGATGAAAACTCAAAAAACTAGTCAAATCATCAATTGAAATTAATACAGACAATAATATAATGCAAAAAATACAAAAATCTGGGACTGCTGCTTGAATCAATCCAATCTTTGAATCAAATGGATTCTAATACAGCAAAAATGCTTAATTAATAAAACAAGAAAGACAGCAAAATGTAGTCTATAGGATGGGTTTCTCATACAAGACTACTATCGAAACTATGAAAGCGATTTTTCTAATCAAATTAAAGTAGCAATATTTTTTTGCAATTTTATTTTCATAATCTATCCCTTCATATAGAGAAGAATATTTCCTTGAGAAACTAAAATGATTTAATAATAAATAGTGCTTTGAACTAACGAATTCATACAATTAATACATTCCGAAAATGAGTATTAAACTAAAAATTGCTAGAAAATTGTTGAAAGTCACTATAAAATAATCATTTTTTTTTTCACAAATTAGTTGTAAAATGCAGGCCATAAAAATATCTAACAAAAGTAGATTGATTATCGCAATGAGTTTTGATAAAAATGTAAGCTTGTATTTATATGATTATTTAATTAAAAGCACTATTAGGCTTGGAAGTTTTTAAAGCTTTTCATGTATAGGTTATTTTGGCTATTGTTATTCTTGTGTTTACATATTAGATTCAACGTAACAAATCGTAAAAACAACAATGCCTTTTCTTGTAGCATTCTTGTGGGTAAACTTTTTTTCAAAAATTTTAATAATTGCTAAGGACACAAGGTATATTAAAATAGCTAATAGTATAAGGCAACTAAACACCTATATGTTATTAATAAATAAAGGATTAATATTTTTTTCGTTAAATTTTGGAGGAGCTTCAAAATAATAAAGGTCAGTTGGTTAATTTAGAGAAATAAATTCAGGAATATTAAAAATATCATCCCATTATAATTTTAAAAAAAATAATTTCACATTTAGAGGGTAATCTACATTAAGAAAATAAAAATTATTAATCCATGTTAATATGTCCAAAATTGTCCAAAAAAAGTTTACTCCTCCAAATAAAATTGTCAATGGACCAATCAATTATAGTAAAAAGGTTAATTGATTTGAAGTAGAAACAACTGCTTATGCTTAAGCCTTTTAAGCCTGATTATAATAAACCTATTTTCTTGGTACTACGATAATTTCTCTGATATTTTCTTCTTCTAAAAGTCGTGATTAATTTTATGATGTGGGAATTAATATATGAATTAAATTAATCTCTGTTATAGTTTTAAAAAAGTCAAATTAAATTTGGCATTCGTGTAATTAAGTGTTTTTTTCAGATTGTTCAGTAGAATTTATTTAAGCAGTTATTAATGAATAATTAAAATCAGTATTATTAAAATATTCAATAACAATCTTGATTCTAGTGCAAAAATTTTCAAAATTAATCTCACTTTTTAAAAATAAGCAATTAGCAGTACTAGAATTAGAATAGCCATAAGCAATTTATTTTTCTTCTTTTTTATTACAGGTATTTAATACACATTCATAACCTTTTTCAATCTAACATTTTTAATTGCATCCATCTTAATTAAAATTATTTCCGTCATCACATTCTTCCATTTCAGCCATAATACCATCTCCACATATTGTATAACATTTTCTTAAACTAAAATCATTATAATATCCTAATTTATTATCACATTTTCCACAATTTTCCATCATGCATTCAGTACAATTATTAGGGCTATGTTAGCATTCTATACAATGATCAGAACATTTTAAACATTCACCAAAACTAATGAAATAACCTTTACTACAATTTAAACAAACAATTTAACCATTCTTAAATTCACAATCTGTACATTCAGACTTACATTAAAAACAAAAGCTCTTTTCATCAAGAGTTTAACATTTATAGCCTTGATCTATTAAGCAATTTGTACATCCATCATTATTTAGGGAGTTGCCATCATCACATTATTCTGCACCTAAGATTAAACCATCTCCACAATCTAGAATGCATTCTTAATTAATTTTCTTGTATCCAATTTAGCATTATTCACAACCTCCTTATTAACAAACAACACAATATTAATCACAAGAAAATTAACATTAAAAACAGCCATCATATTGTATTTCATTTCCATCATCGCATTATTCACTTTCTGCTTTGATAGAATCTCCACATTTAGTATAACATTAATTCTTTTATTCATCAATATATAATCCATTTTATTCATTACAATTATTCCAATCAATGCATCTTCCTTTTAATAAATCAAAATAAAAATTTTCCTAACATTATTTACATTGACCATATTAACAATCAATACATTCCTCCTAACATTAAAATTAACATAAACTACAACCATCATAAATAAGATGATTACCATCATCACATAATTCTTCAAAAGTCACTAAATTATCTCCACATATAGGTGTACACGAATTTCCAATAATATCCAAATAATAACCAGTTTTACAAAAAATGCATGAACCTTGAGAGCAAATCTAACAATTTATTGGGCAATTCTTTAAACATTCAAAACCATTACCGTTGCATTATTCAAAACTATCATCTAAATATTAAATTTTAGTGAGTTTTTCATTTTAACAATTGTCTAATTTTTTTAATTTTAATCCATTCTATTTTGTGAATTCAATACAATAATTTTTGCATTTATTATCATTCATTTAACAGTTGGTAAACATTATATTTTATTAATTTCTTTAATAATTTGTTAATGATAGTTCAGCTTCAAAAAAGATTTATTAGTTAGGAGAATTAATAAGATTTGAAAATAAATAAGTAAAATATACAATTTCATTTTGAATTATTGATTAAAGTGATTTAATTTCCAAAGATTCTAAACTTATTCTACTCAGATAATTATTGTACTAGTAATCGTAATAAAATGCTTATAGCAGATCATTTTAATACATCTCATTATTAATTTTGACAATAGGAAATGATTGAGAATATAATTCTTAACATCTACCTTCAAAGTTTTGATAACCTTTAGCACATATTAAACAATTTCCCATTATACATATTAGACATTGACTTTCACAACTAAATTAGCATTGATGGCATCCATCTCCAAAAATCATATTTCCATCATCGCATTACTCAAAAGTTGTTATTAATGAATCCCCACAAATAGTTACACATTCTCGATCAATTAATTTGAATCCAGGTTTACATTATAAGCATCCTTATCCACTAATTAAATCGCATAATTAACAAGAATAATCACACTCACATCTGTGTAAATTAATATTGAGTTTGTATTTATTAATACAATGGAAACATTTAGTATTTTTACAATCATCACAAATTGAAGTATTCTAGCATTAAAATAAACAAGTTTTACTGCATCCATCAAAATCGATTAGATTACCATCATCACATTCTTCAGTGAATGGAATATCTATAGCTGATACAATAATACCATCTCCACAAATATTTTTACAATAATTATTTTCAGGAATCAAACCTTCTCTGCATTTAATGCATTTACCATTCTCATAATTACATTCTAAGCAATCATTTTTACAATAGAATTAACAATCTTTGCAATTAGTTGTACTTATAGCATCATCACATTTTTCTTTTCCCTTTATTAATCCATCCCAACATACTTCTTTACAATAATAAGTTGGTGAAGAAACATCTAAATACCAACCTGAAGTGGCACATTCATAACAAACTCCATTAATACATTTGGTACATTCAGGTTAACACTAGAATTTACATTAATAACATCCATCAAATTAAATTGAATTTCCATCATCACAAAATTCATCTCCTGTTATTATCATATCACCACAGACACATGAGAGATTTATTCCTTAGCAAGGATTACATATTGATGAAATAGGGCATTCTAAATATGTATCAAGTGTATGCTAAAAATAAGTATTCGGATTTTAATCACAAGTACCATTAATATTTAGCTAATACCCAACTAAACAAATATCACATTAATTTAATGATGAACATTTTAGACAATTCTAAATACATTTTTAGCATATTTATTCATTATTTAATTCAAAATAACTATCCTAACAAACGCATACATCATTTATTAATGTTCTAAACAAACCTTATATACATTCTGTACATTTTAAAGAATTTATGCATTGATTACAATTTTAGGGACAATTATTGCATATATTAGATTCCAAATATTGATTAGAAGCACAAATGCATCCTTATGTTGGATTTGAGAAGGTTTCAACACAAGTTAAACAATTTTAAAAAGATGTACATGTCATGCAGGTTGTTGGACAACTCTAACATTTCAACTAATATTAATCAAAGTATTGGTCATTTAAACATATGGGTACTGATTCTACATAATTTGTATCTAAACAATCTGACTCATTTGAACAAGAGTTGCAATTAGGTTTGCATTAATGAACAGTAAAATAATGCTAATAAAATCCACAATAAGAATAAATTGGCTCATTATTTATGCCTTTACATTCTAATTCTATTGATATGCTATTTTAATTATGCAGTTATTTATGTCGAATAGGTATTTCTACTGAAAAACTTGATGTTAATTCCATTTAAATAATTCCATCTAAACTAAATATAAATTATCCATCTTCAGGGAAATTAGGGCCAAAAATAACAATAAAAGAAATGGTTATTGCATGATGAGGATCTTCTATATTTATAATTCTTGAAAACTTTGCTTAAGCCCAGATAAAAGGTCCTCCAAATATTCTGAATTGTGATTTCCAAATAGAATAATAAATTCCTTATCCTTTTAAAAAGTTTTGTCCAACTGCATTTAAAAGTGTATACTCTGGGTATGTTTCTATATCTAATTCTAAACCTGTGAATTCTTTAATAATATATTTAGAATCTATTATATAAATTACTATATTTACAATTTGTTTCATCATCGTCTTCTTAACAGTGGGTGGTATTAATTTTTTGTTAATAAGCACCTAAACATTAACTACATGTTCCCCATTTTGATTTCAAATATCCAGTTTAACATTAAGCACAATTAAATTTTTCTTCACATCTCAAACAATTAGATGGACAATAGCCTGAATAAACATAAAGACTTCTTAATCCCCAACCAGCATTTGAATTTCTAAAATATTATATGATTTTACGAATAGTTCCCTATCATTTTAATAACAAAAGTATTTGTTATATCTGCATAGAAATATAAAGTATTATATTAATTATTAGTATAGGAAATGCCATTAAAAACAGTATTTGATCTAGTATCAGTCCAAAATCTAAATAATTTGTCAGTTTTCAAGGTACCTTAATCATCACTATAAATTTATCCATAGTAAGTATCATTTATTAAAAATTATATACTACTTAACGGTGGCATTATATTAAAGAGCACTAATTCTACAGTTATTGCTATCATAAATGTCCCTTGATTTGATGGCAATGTTAATACTCTATATATACCTTAATTATTTGTAAATATTCCATAAATATAAAAGCCATCAAATTGTCTATTTTCAGGTAATACTGTATTTAATTACTCAAAATCATAAATAATTTACCATCTAAATTGTTCTGTAGATTTTGATGATGAAATATAAAGACCAAGTATGGTGGAAACTACATTATAATAATTAATACTTGGATATGGTTCACAAACTCCTTTGACATATTTTTATTAATTAATATGGCAAGTAGGTTTGCAACCCTAATTTTTAACATAATACATAGCTGTGCTTGGACAGGAGTATTCACATGTATTCTAAGAAGTAAGAGTACCATATGAAAAACAAAAAGAACACTAATTATATTTGCTTCCAAAACAAATTCTACAAGTTCCATGACACTATAGGGCTGATACAATTAAATTTTTAATAGAAACTCTTGCAGTTAAGGAATTGATCTCAAATTTATGGTAACCAGAAATAATCGTAGAATTTATTGTATAATTGATAGTTTAAATGATCGCAACTTAGTTATTGCAAAATCCTTTAGAAATGCTTACCTTTTCAATGTTATTATATATTATATCATTTTAGTAGGATCCAATACTATACTTTACAAAATCTTCATTATTCCATGTGTTAAAAAATATGAGATCGTATGTTATGAAATACATTGAATAGGAACTTGTGGATAAACTATTTTAATGTATTGCTGACTATGATAAAGTATTTAAAGTTATATAGCTTCCTTCTGCTGAACAATTGATATAATTAGCAGGTAAATTTGGATTACCAAATTGACTTATAAATCCATCAGTATCTGTGCTACTAAATTGCTTTACTGAAGTAATATATGATCCTATTCTAACCCATGTGCATCTAATTGGATAAAGGAGTACAAAAATTGTATAGAGAAGCCTAATCATTAATAATATTAATCAAAATTTCTAAAAATCTTCAAAGTAAAAAGTAAAATAATTCACAAAACACAAAACGAATTATTGATAAAAATATGAAAGAAATATATATTCAGCTACTATAATCTTCGATATAATTGGAACTAAGGCTAAAAATTGAAGACTTTGAAAGAAATTCTTTAAATAAATTTTTATTTTTTTTTGATGATGATGTCATTCGATATAATGCCCAAAGTTTAAGGAATGAAAAGAATTATTAAGTTACCAATTGTATAATAACATTATGATTAGTAAATATTATAAAAAATATTTTGAGATAAATATCCATAAAGTCAACAGCATAAATGAATAAATTATCTGATTAAATATTGAATAAAGCTGCTCAATATCAATATAGATATTAGTTGGTTGAATCATTTTTGGATATTCAAGAAATTTGGAGAAATTTTATTTCTTATAATTAAAAGCTATCCTAATAAAATATTAACTTAAATTTTTATTTCTAAAAAATAAATATCTTCTGCTCAACTATTTTTTTATATATATTTTATAATTTATCATAATTATTAAATTTACGATTGGTTTCTAGTATTTATTTTTTGGAATTTTTAGTAATAGCACATTCAAATTATGTAACACTTGTAACTTAATAATAAACAAAAATGAATATTGAAATTTGAAATATATAGAAGACTACTTAAATGGAAATGAAGTAGTTTATTTTCAAAATAATAATATTGGGATCTTAAAATTTCAAAAGGGAAACTGCAATTAGATATTAGAGTAAGTATGAACTAATGTTTCAAATATCTAGTAATATTTTCTTTATGGGGAAAACAAACCAAAAAATTTTAATGAAATTCAAGTAATGAGATATAAGGATGGAGATTACTAATTGATAATCAACTATGCCCTTTAAATGAAAGATAAAGACATTAAAATTATTAATTAGATTAAAAATTAGGATTATCATCTATTTGCTCCCTACTATTTGAAAAGATAAAAAGAATTGGGTTGGATGTAATAAAAAGAACCCAGCTTCTCCAAATCCTTATTATATATTAATAAAATATTAGTAAATTTATAAGAAAAAATAGGAATTTTTATTGGATAAAATACTATTTCATGATTTATAAGCTATATACTACTGTACATTAAAAAAGAGAGAGTAAAAAAAAGGATAGTTAGAGAGAGATTCATTAGATATTGAATTGATTTCAAAATAATATAATTTTTTCACTTTCTTTTTTTTGTAAAAGTTGCATAAATTACATTAAGAAAATTAAGAATGAATATTGAGGAGGCTAATAAATTTATTGAAAAGTATAGCTGGGAAATTGGTTAGTGGCAATAAACAAATTTTTTAATGTTTTTTTAATATGTCTGTTAAGGTGGGTTAACAAATTTTTATGATTTAAAATAATAATATAAAAGATAATTAAATTCATTTCTAATATCTGAATCAGATATATAAATCTTAATTAAAATTTAAAAAATATATAATGGATCGTCTAAACCCATCTTCCAAAGATTGCATTGTTCCACTTATTGAAGAAAATTCTCCTTGTATTTGTAATAAATAATATTATATTATTAGAAAGCAACAAACAAGAGATTGACTCCTAATTATTATTACCCTAATTTACATCAATGTTCCAGAATCCTGACCTTCTACTTTAAACTGTTCAATTAGAATAGTTGAAGCTACAAGCTTAATTTTACTCTCAGATGAATAATTTACCACTAATTACTGATGAATCAAGAGTGGTTGATTTATTCACTCAACAACTTCTCTAACAATAACTTATGATTAATGCAGCACTTCTAAACCAATTCTAGGTATCATCTTATACTTATGCAGGGCGTTGAAAATGCTAACTAGAGCTAAACAAAGGATTTGGGTGATAATAAAATAAAAAGAAAACATATTAAAAAATCCCATAATCCTCAATTTAATACAGGTATATACTTTCTTTACATTGTTAGGACATTGGAGTGCTTAAGAACATTAGGTTTATTTGAACTTCTTACAATAACATAGGGAAGTAATGGAAAGTTCTGAATTAAAAAAAACTAACAAAATCTTCAAATTAATGTCTGATATCATTAAGAGTCGATCACCATCTTAGTGTAGATCTCATCATTAAAAATTTAATCCCTATTCCAAATATTTGATTAATGTATTAAATTTTTGTGTATAAATAGAACAACATTGTTCGTAGAAAAATGAAAGAACAATTAAAGGATAATTAATAATAACAGTAATAAATTTCAGAAAATGAAAATAATCAGTAATAATAATCTCAAGAATCTAATTTAAAAGTTGAGTTTTAACAGCAATTACAAGAATCTAAAGTAGAATCCAAAATAGAATAGAAAATAGAACACAAAATAGAATTCCAGGAATAATTCTAAGAGTCCAATGTTAGAGAAGAATAATAATAAGTCAGTGGTCAGGATTGATTTCTTTATCAATTTTATTTTTTTATTATATTTTATTCATTTTATAAAAATATCTATTAACAATATGATTTTGTGTGTCTAATAATCATATTCTTATTAGATTTCAATTTAATTCGTTAAAATTTATTATCATAAATTAGAGATATTTTATAAAATAATATTATTCAATAATGAGCTAAATAAATTAATATAAGTGAGTGGACATAATAATAATAATCAACTCTCAATATATTGTTGAAGGTTTTACTCATAATTATTGAAAGAAGAATCTATGAAATTAATATCATCATTTTTTTCTTGGATAGAAAGATTTTCTTTTGATGCATTGAGATTTAATTCATCATAGGAGAGTAAGGAAGAATTGTAGAGTAGAAACAAAGAATTTTTTAAATTATTTGGAAATCTATTTCTCAGAAATTAAGATGCTACATAATAGATTGAAGTTAACAAATACAAATTTAAATGATGCAAATATTAACAGCAAGAGTATAGTTTATTGGTTTTTATTTATTTAAAATTATATACTATTTAATGATATAAGTCTTATATTATAATTTATAAATTGAAAATATATAAGCAAGAATTATATTTACAATTTAATTTTAATTATAAAAGAAAATCAAATATTTATAAATAACAGGAACTAATTTCTAGAGGTCTCTAAATAAAAATAACGTAGATAGGATTTGTGTTAAAACAATAGAAATGGATCAATAATTTTATGAAGTGAATCATTTGAGTTAGTGTATTACATTTGCAAACAAAAATCATTATGAGTAATTCAACTGTTTCTAATTGCCTAAGATAAAGATATAAAGAAATGAAATAAAATAGTTATTATTATTCAAATTTAATAAAATATAATTTATCAAAAAAATAAACAAATTTCTTCTGATATAATGTCAGATATTGATTAATGGATAGAAACATTAAAAAATGGGGAGAATCTGAAGGAAACAGATGTCAAAATATTATGTAACAAAGCTAAAGATATACTTAATAACGAAGATAATGTCATTAGAGTTGAAGCTCCTGTGACTGTAAAATAAATTATTATATAGATTTGTGGAGATATTCATGGATAATTTTAAGATTTAATGGAATTATTTAAAGTAGGGGGTGATGTTCCAGAGACAAATTACCTATTTTTGGGAGATTTTGTGGATAGAGGATATAATAGTGTAGAGACATTTTTATTATTGTTGGCTTTAAAAGTAAGATATCCAGATTAGATTACATTGTAAGAATAAATATAATGATAGAATTCGAGGAAATCATGAATCTAGATAAATTACTTAAGTATATGGATTTTATGATGAATGTTTAAGAAAATATAGTACTTTGAATGTTTGGAAGTATTGTACTGAAGTTTTTGATTATTTGGCATTGGCAGCAGTAGTCAATGATAGTATTTTCTGTGTACATGGTGGTTTAAGTCCTTACATCAAAACAATAGATGAAATTAGAATAATTAATAGAAAGTAGGAAGTACCTCATGAAGGAGTTATGTGTGATTTGATGTGGTCTGATCCTGATGGTTTATTATTATATTTAATTTTGTAGAAATTGAAGGTTGGAGTCAGAGTGCAAGAGGAGCTGGTTTTGTATTTGGTGCTGATGTTGTAAAAGAATTTAATCGTAGAAATGGCATATCTTTAATTTGTAGAGCTCATTAATTAGCTATGGAAGGATTCAAATTGATGTTTGATAATTCTTTAGTCACTGTTTGGTCTGCACCAAATTATTGTTATAGGTTCAATTTCTTTTTATTTTTAGATGTGGTAATGTTGCTTCAATACTTGAATTGGATGAGAATCTTAAGAAATATTATAAGTTATTCGAAGCTGCTCCAACCGAGAGATCAGCGAATTCAAAAAAAACTATCGCAGACTATTTCTTATGATGATTTAATATTAATTTAAATAACATTATGTAAGAAATAATAATTACAACACTGTTGAAATTTAATGAGATTTTAGATGCTTTCTAATAAGTATTTAAGATTCATAATTACAATTGTAATCAATAAAGAGAGATTCTAGAAAAATGTTTAGAGAAAGAATATATAAGCAGTTGCATCTATATCACTGTTAATAGTAATAATAAATTCTTTCCAAATTATAAGGATTTAGAAGAATTTGATCTTAAATATTCTAGGGATAAGTAATAGCAAGAGAATAATCTAATAGGTTTTAAAAATATATTTGTCTTTAGAATTAATTGAAAATAACGTTCAATATGAAACAAAAGAAGTTAAAAAACAAATAGATTAACTTATTTACACTTAAAGTGAAAAGCTTAATGATTTTAAATCCTATGTATCTGATATATATTTAACCAAAACTGATATCCGTTAATTTAAATCTAATTCTGAAGAGATGATTAATAAATTGCAAGATTAAATTTAACAATTCCAAACGAAATATGCCCTCAAACTTTACACAGAATAACATATTGTATTCAATTTATATTAATCTTTAGATTGACATTAAATAAGCTATATCATAATTGTAATAAGCTAATACATTAATTAAATAAGATTCTTAAACTTTACATAAACTTAATAGAGATAACAGATAAATGATTAAATAATCACATGAATAGTTAACATCAAAAATTGAAACTGTTGAAAAAGATTAATATAAAATTTATGAATTTGAGAAAGAAGTTGAAAAAATGAAGAATATAATTTAAGAATAAAAATAAGGTAAAATAATAAATAATTATTTTTTAGATAATGAAATTATTCAAAATAAAGTAAAATCATTAGCTTAATTATTTTAAGAATTGGAAGTTAATAATTCTAAGGTTGTTAGATTTGAAATACATACAGCATTTAAAAAGATTGATGAAGAATTTGTTTATTTTAAAAATAGACAATAAAGCTTCTAGGATTAATTATAAGTGATAAAGGAGCAGTTTTCAAAATCTGAATTAAGCTAAACTTAATTTTAAAATTTTGTAAATGAATAATTTGATGTAATATCTTCTGAATTAGTTAAAAAGAAATAACTTATTAAATCAATGCTTAAAAATATTGCACTCCTTTAGCAATAGTAAATATATAATCAAATAAATAAGGGAAAAAAATTAAATTTAATCTGATATACCAAATAAGGTGGCTATTTTATTATCAAAAGTTTCAACTCTTGAAAAAACATCCAAAATAAGTTTTGATCAATTAAAAAGAATCATTGATGTAATTTAAGAATTCTGTGAAACTTCTTAAATTCCATCTGACAATAAAGAAAAAGATCTTACAAATTTAATACTACTTTTAGATAGAAGAATATTAGAATATGGAAAATCAATTTAAGATCAACAAATTCAATCAGTATAAAACAATACAGTTAAAATTAATACTCCTAGAATTTCAACATCAGTAGATTCACCATTCAAATTAGGTAATTTAAAATAGAAAAAAACTAAATTTAGTAAATTGTTAAATAAGACAGTATATTATGATAGTAGAAGAGATACAATAATTTGAATAATTTAATTTCATATATCATCATGACTTTGTCTATATAAAGATATTCTGGTTTTCTAGAAAATATTATTTAAAATATATTTACTAATGATTAAATTTATTCTTATTATTATTTGATTAAGCTATCACCAGATTTTATTGCTTAATATTTTTATTGTTTTTCTTACATAAGGAGCTTCATCATTTATTATATTTTTTCTTGATTCATATTTTTTTATCTTCTCATTTCTTCTTTATTATCTTATGGTAACATTTAATCAATGATAATTGAAATTTAATTCATTTTGTCCTTTGTTTTTTATGTTACTTTTTTATTATATAACAATAAAGGGGAAGTTGATTTAAAATCAGAAAGAATTGAAATGCATTCTTAAACTGTTGAAATTGTATTTTATTATGAAAATGCTTGATTTTGTGATTTGTATGATTGTGAGAATTAGCTTTTATGTTATATTAAATGAGTTGATTGCCGATGAATACTATTTTTATTTGAATTACTAGGTGATGATTTGAATGTAATAAATGTTTAAGATTGACTTTATTTTGGAGTTCTAGTAAGATTGGTTGTTATTTTGATTTCATGTTAAGATTAAAGGCAAGGCTTATCAAATTTGTCAAACTTTATTAGTTTCATTTAATAAGTAAATACTTTAATTTATAATCAGATTCTGAAATAAAATTAATAAAAGATTAAATTATACATAAGATCTTAAAAAATGCATTTTACAAGTTAATTTATTTCACATCTTAAAGATAATATTACTACTGAATTGAATTTATAAAAAAAGAATTCAAGTTTTAACAAATTTAACAACTAATCTTAAAATTTTGACATTTATATTAATTAAATAAAAATATTATAAGAAGAGAAGAAATTTATAAACTATAATTGATTAATTTACAAATACCATATAAGAATCTATCAAGATTGATAAATGTTATTTCACTTTGATTATTTTAATTTTTATTATGTTCTTTATTGATAATGAGCTATGTATTCTTTTGCAGGACAATATCTTTATCTTTTTGGAGTATATTCTGTATTCACTAAACTTTTATATTAAGTATCATATTTTGGACTTCTTCCATAATCCATGATTTTATCACTATTTAATTTAGGGTTTTTTTATATTCTAAATGGTTAATATGCTAATTATGTTTATGATTATGAAACAAAAGGTTAACCTGTAGGTAAAGGAGTTCTAAAATATAAATATATAATAAAATTACAATTCTGTTATCATTTTTAAAGAATCACTAGGCTTTTGATATGGTTTATTTGCAAATGAATCTTTATATAAAGATTGAGCTGTGAAAGGTATTTGATCACTTACACTTTAATGAACAGGTCTTTTGAAATGAGCAGTTTCTGGTGGTCCCCAAAATTTGAATTAAGTCTAATTATTACTATAAAAACATTACTTTGTAACTACTATTACCTAAAAAATCTCCTTTATGTTCTTAAGATTATGGTCTAAGCATTTCTTATACAGGAACTTTAAATTGTTTATATGATGTCTAAATGTAAATTATGAAATTACTTAATGTAAACTTTGTTGATCAATAGGTTTTTAATTACAAAATTGAGTAGAGTAATATGTTTAATTTAATGGTCTAAGAGAATTATATCCAGTTTGTTTATGTAAGAAATCCTTACCATAAACAGTATTTGGAGAAGATGTATAATTCAATTTACAAGTTTTAGAGAAATTACATTTACATTATCCACATTCACATTTATAACAAGCACAAAAACCTAGTAATTAAATTTAATTCAATAGATTTACCTAATTAATGATGGAAATAATCTGGATTATCATTGATAAGCTTTGGAATGTTAACATTTTAAACATCTGGTAAAATTAGTTTCCAAATAGGATGATCTAAAGGAATATCATCTACATAGTTGAATTATTAATTGATTGGCTAAAAGTCTTCAATTTAATTTTCTTGACTCTTAATTCTTAATAAACTTTCTGATTTTGGAGTTCTAAGTCGAGATACAACTTTCTCTCTTGTTTAAGGTTTTTCTTAGACAGTTTAAGTTCCACTTTTTTATTTTGATTATTATGTATCTGGTCGTGTTGGCATAAGTGATTTACAAGTTTCAATTATTTACTCCTCTACATTAGAGTCTGATTATCTAATGATTCTTGATCCTAAACCAGTTTATTTTCTTAAAACTTAATATTTGACCATTCTTGGTTTATTAATGAAGGATTAACTATTGTTTGATTAGAATGTATATAATTTAGTATTTTCTAAATATGTTAATAAAACTACATCCTTATGAGCTCATTAGATATTTCTATATATATTTTATTAAATTTATTTTTTTCTTTTTTTCATTAATTTTATGTCAAAATGTGCTAATTAAATATCTTCCAAAAATTATTACTTAACAAGACATAATTTTTTAATTATTGCATAAGTAAAAATTAATACACATTTGATATCAGTAATAAATAAATTATTCATATTTATATGACAAAATAAATAATCATTGACTAGTAAAAGTAAATCTAATTAAATTACATATATATTTATTTATTCTAGACTTAAGTTCAAAATATATTAATATAATAATTATATAATCTAAATTACTTAAATAATATTTTCAATATTCAAAATAATATAAATTCTTGAATTTAATCAATCAAAATTTATATGAATAATTCATTAACTAAAACCAATTAATAATCTATCTTTGGAAATTCAAAGAAAATTCAATATTTTTACTAGATAATAATTTAATATGAATATAAAATAATTGTTCGAAAAATATTTAATACTTTAAAATATTCTTTATCAAAACATATTCAATAACAATTCTCTCCTTTAACCATTAGGAATAGCACTTATGAATAATAATATATATCAAAAACTTCATAGATTCTTTAAAAATCTATAAAAAATTATAAAATACATTAGACTCATTTTTAAAAGTAATATTTACTAGATTCAAGCTTAATCATATAAAATTCATCTTTAATATTATATTAGAGTGTTATTAAGGGTGATTCATCTTGAAAAAATTAAAGAAATTGAAAAAAGATATTAATGAACAAAATTTGATTTCATTTTAATATATATTACTTTGAATATTACTCTTAATAATTTTCAATTTCCTAGTATAAAGATTGAAATAAATTAATTTGAAGATATTAAATAAATTAGTGTATAAAAACATTGATAAATGAAAACAAAAGAAATAGAGCAAAACAGCAAAGTCAGTAATACAAAAACTATGCCAAGTGATTCAGGATTATATTTACATAAGAATACACATGCCTAAACTTAGATTATAACTAATAAATCTGCCATTCAGCTATAGAACCAAAGAAGTACTACTCCAGGAAATAGGACATAAATTATTAGAAACGTAATTTCTTTTCTTAAATTTCAGTTTTATTTGCCTGCTCATATTTAAAAGGTAAGGGATGAACTTTTAGTACAAAAAATTGTTAATGAGAAGGTAGAGAAATATGAAAATGAAAAGGAATGGTTCCAAGGTAAATTAATTAAGCAGCATAAATTTGGTTTTTGCAAATATTACTTAAAAAAACAATATTATTATGAAGGATAATTTTCATGTAGCTTGAAGCATGGAAAAGGTTTAATTATTTATGAAAATGGAGATTATTATGTAAATTATATTATTAATATAAGTAAGGAGAGTTTTTCGCTGATAAAATTCTAGGGGATAACGGTATGTTTAAAGATTTTGAAGATGAATGCAAAAAAAATACAAAACTTGAAAAATAAAAACTAGAATTTCCTAACGGTGCTATATACTAAGGTTAAGTTCTTGATGGGAAAAGACATGGTAAAGGTGTCTATACTTGGAAGGATGGTACTAAATATGAAGGATAATTTGAAAATGATTAATTTAATGGATTTGGAATAATGGAATTTGCAGATAGTAGTAAATTTAAAGGAGAATGGGTAAATGGAGAAATGGAAGGATTTGGACATTTTGTATGGCCAAATTCTGAAGAATATAAGGGTTTTTATAAATAAAGCAAAAAAAATGGTTTTGGAGTATTTAAATATAAAAGTGGTATTGTTTATTTTGGAGATTTTCTAAATGGATTGAATCATGGTGATGCAGTGCTTAAGTAAATAAATAGCAAACCCAAAATTTCTAAATGGTAGGATGGTAAATAAATTGAATGAGTTATAAATTGATAATATTTTATTATTTGTAAATGTTAGAATTGCCTTTTAAGAATCTCACACATTTTGAAAATGAGTTCAAAAATGCTTTAAAAGAACTTTAATCTACAGAAAGTACCCTTGAAACTTAAGCTGAAAATAGGAATTCTGTGAACTCTGTTTTTATTTCAGGTTCAACCTTTGAACGAATTAAATCAGGTTCTAAGTCTAAAAGCTTTGCTTATTTTCAATAGAAATAAGTTGAGAAAATCATTTATAAAAGGTTCTTCAATTTAAAATAGCCTTTTGAATAAAATAGTGACTTAATATATTATGGTCAATTTCATAATGAGAAAGCTCATGGTTTTGGTAAATTAGTTTCAAAAAAGTCTTCAATTTTATTTGAAGGACATTTTATCTTTGGATAGATCCATGGTAATGGAAGATTAATTTTAAGTAAAGGAGATGTATTTGAAGGAAGATGGTTTTTTAATAAAATNGGACATAAATTATTAGAAACGTAATTTCTTTTCTTAAATTTCAGTTTTATTTGCCTGCTCATATTTAAAAGGTAAGGGATGAACTTTTAGTACAAAAAATTGTTAATGAGAAGGTAGAGAAATATGAAAATGAAAAGGAATGGTTCCAAGGTAAATTAATTAAGCAGCATAAATTTGGTTTTTGCAAATATTACTTAAAAAAACAATATTATTATGAAGGATAATTTTCATGTAGCTTGAAGCATGGAAAAGGTTTAATTATTTATGAAAATGGAGATTATTATGTAAATTATATTATTAATATAAGTAAGGAGAGTTTTTCGCTGATAAAATTCTAGGGGATAACGGTATGTTTAAAGATTTTGAAGATGAATGCAAAAAAAATACAAAACTTGAAAAATAAAAACTAGAATTTCCTAACGGTGCTATATACTAAGGTTAAGTTCTTGATGGGAAAAGACATGGTAAAGGTGTCTATACTTGGAAGGATGGTACTAAATATGAAGGATAATTTGAAAATGATTAATTTAATGGATTTGGAATAATGGAATTTGCAGATAGTAGTAAATTTAAAGGAGAATGGGTAAATGGAGAAATGGAAGGATTTGGACATTTTGTATGGCCAAATTCTGAAGAATATAAGGGTTTTTATAAATAAAGCAAAAAAAATGGTTTTGGAGTATTTAAATATAAAAGTGGTATTGTTTATTTTGGAGATTTTCTAAATGGATTGAATCATGGTGATGCAGTGCTTAAGTAAATAAATAGCAAACCCAAAATTTCTAAATGGTAGGATGGTAAATAAATTGAATGAGTTATAAATTGATAATATTTTATTATTTGTAAATGTTAGAATTGCCTTTTAAGAATCTCACACATTTTGAAAATGAGTTCAAAAATGCTTTAAAAGAACTTTAATCTACAGAAAGTACCCTTGAAACTTAAGCTGAAAATAGGAATTCTGTGAACTCTGTTTTTATTTCAGGTTCAACCTTTGAACGAATTAAATCAGGTTCTAAGTCTAAAAGCTTTGCTTATTTTCAATAGAAATAAGTTGAGAAAATCATTTATAAAAGGTTCTTCAATTTAAAATAGCCTTTTGAATAAAATAGTGACTTAATATATTATGGTCAATTTCATAATGAGAAAGCTCATGGTTTTGGTAAATTAGTTTCAAAAAAGTCTTCAATTTTATTTGAAGGACATTTTATCTTTGGATAGATCCATGGTAATGGAAGATTAATTTTAAGTAAAGGAGATGTATTTGAAGGAAGATGGTTTTTTAATAAAATTTTATATGGAACATATTATAACGAATTATTAAAGCCTATAATTGCTATAAAAGAACTATTTATAGAGTTTCCCTAAATTCGAAGTTAGAAGAACTATTATGGAAATCTTATAAATAACAAAAGGGAAGGTTTTGGAAGATATCAATGGAATGATGGAACATATTATATTGGAGAATTTGTTGATAATAAAATGTGTGGATTTGGAAAGATGATATATTAAGATGGAAGAAAATACTTAGGATATTGGAAGAATAGTGAAATGGATGGATATGGAGAATTTGAATGGCCTAATGGATAAGGTTATATTGGATAATATAGTCAAGATAAAAAACATGGATTAGGTATGATAATTTTAGATGGAAGAGTTGCAATTGGAGAGTTTGAAAATGGTAGATCCTTTTCAAAAAGCAAAGATTATGATTTTTGATGCTTAAATTAATATGATTATAGGATAGTTTGATGTTAAAATTCATATTTGATATAATAATAAATAACTTATTAGGATGCTTTTATAATATTTATTAAAATGATATTCTTTGATTGATGAGTTTTGTAATAAAATAATTATCATATCTTAATATTTGAAAAATCAGCACTTTTAACAACTTTTTCAGCTGATTCAGCAACTTCTTATTCTCTAATATATTCATTTTTCATATCTTAATATATTTTAGTTTCTTCAGCGTAGCTATCATTTTCAATATTTAATTGGGATTAGAATCTTTATCTATCTGCATCTCTTTAAGCAGAGTATTCAGTTAATTCATTTATTTTAGCTAAATATAAAATATATAATATACTTATTGTAGCTTCTAAATCAACTGTAATTTTACTAATTTATTTACCAAATTCAGAAAATTCATGATCTAATTATTCTACTCTTTCCTCAAATTCTTATTAATTTTCAGCTTCTAATGCTGTGGCATCATTAATTGCATCTACAACAGCATTTCTAAATTCATTCAATTTATCTAATATAGTTCCAACAATATCTTAATTTGAGAAATTTTATTCATTTGCTAATTAAATTAAAGCTTTTATTAATGGTCCATGTTTGCTATGAGCTCTTATTCTTTATTCAATCATATTTAATTGAACATGAATTTTTCTAATATTTGATGATGTAACTTATCCAAGAGATTAGTTTCTTAAACTGTAAAGCAATTCTAATGCTTAATCTGTTGATTCAATAGCTGAATTAAAATCTGCAAGTTGAGCTTCAAATTCTTCTTTTTCATTTTCTCTCTTTAATTATGTTTCAGCCAATGTCTTTCTAAATAAATGTAATTTAATATTTATACCTATTAGCCTCTTAATACTCTTAAATTTGTTCAATTTTATTTTTAAGATTTTCTCTTCTTGGATAGAGTAAGTTTTCAAGAGTATCTTAAGTTCTTTAATAATCAAGAACAGCTTAATTAATTTCTTATTCCAATGTAGTCACAATTTTATGATGTTCATTTGTTCTTTATCCAAAATTAAATTCTAAAACATCTAATTCTTCTTGTAAATCAGCAACTAAGTCTTCAATAGCCTAGACTAATTCATCAACTGGTCCTTATGATTATGAATGCAATGCCATCATAGATAACAAAGTTTTTCCCCATTTAGATTTGTGTAAGTCTTCAATATGCTTATGAATTGTTTTTTTATCGAAATGAGCTGCCATACTGAAAGTTAACAATAGTGATATGATGATGATGACCTTCATTAATTTATTATATATTAAAAACGAATTTCCAACATTTAAGGTTTAATTTAATTATATTATTTAAATTAGCTTGAATATAGTATTAAAAGAAAATGATTAAGTTTATAAAAAGCTTAGACTAATTTGGAGTGTCCTTCTAACCAAACATATACTATTCAACATCAGAATATAAAACCGTTTAAGGAGGAGTAATGTCAGTTTTACTTTACGGATTGAGTTTCTCATACCTGATCTATATGATGGTTCAGTGGCAATAAGGACAAATATTACCAAAAGTTACTACCTTATCAAATTATGTACCAGATTACAAATTAGAGCTTAATGAGAGATTTATGTAAATTGAAATGAGAAAATATTCCTATACATCTATCGATCCATTTAATCCGGAGAGTGTGATTCTTTAGCCTGTTATATACTATTTTATTAATGGATAGTCTCCTGATAAAGGATATCCTTAATCCTATGAGAAAAAAATAAATATGTTTAATTTCCATATCATCGAACTTTAAAACCTTACTATTTAGACAAGTAGTGAACTAACAGCTGAAAACCCTTAAATTGAGATGATGGTTGTTTTTGGTTAGTGTTTAGATGTATACTTATAGGAAGGATAGAAATGTGCTGATAATAAAACAATTCAAAATTTCTTTGATTAATAAACTAATACTTTAATTGTTAAATAGAGTAAGAAGGAATTCAATACTAATAGTGAAACATTAGACAATATTGATAAAGAATTAGTCATTCCCTTAACAAAAGAGGGTACATTCTATGCTTAAGTAAATACGAAGATATCGTACACATAGGTAGATTAAGGGTTTCTTTTTGAGAGTTTTGATGATTATCAATATATCACTGATTATTAAGTGACAGGTAATTCTATGAATAAAGATTATTTTGGAAAAAAATTAGGTTATGAAACTTATGCTGTTTTTTATTATAAAGTTGATTAAATTCAAACTCTTTCTTAAATAACTTATCCAAAAATAAGTGAAATATTAGCAGATGCTGGATCAATAGCTTCAACTCTTTTATTATTATCTTATATAGTAATTCTAATGAATCAAAGTTATATGTAATTTGAAGCAGTTAATCATATAATATCAATGTATTATCCTGAATTCAAGAATGTTAAAATAATCAAAAATATGTTTGGTAAAATAATTAGAGTTGAAAGTCATGGAAAACTTCTAAACTTAAATTTATTTTTTCCATATTATGAAAAGTTAAAGAGAATTGGAGAAATGAAACTCACTATATCTAATTAAATTTATGAAATATCTAGAATTCAATTCTTACTTTAATCATAGTATTCAAATAAATTTATTTCTAAATTTCATTAAGTTGGCATTCCATTTCCAAATCTCACAATGGATTAATTAGTTATAAAAGAAGATAATTAATCCAAATTAGAAAATAGTATTATTCTACAAGATTAAAACTATAAGTCTAATTAAATAGTAAAATTTGATTCAAATAATAGTTGCCTAATGTAGAGAGTTAAGATTATTAGTTAAAAAAAGAAGTAGTTTCAAGAAAAGCAAGTACCATTGTATTAAATGCTGCAAAATAAGACGATAATTAGAATGAATAATCACGTTAAGTCAAAGAAGATGGTTAAAGAATTTAGGAATTAAATTTAAAAGATGAAGATTTTGAATTATTAACAATGCAAGAAGAATATATACTTTTAGAAGAAAAGGAAATTAATTCTAAAGATGTTGAATAAATTCAACCACTATAACATGATCCAACAAATGCAGACTTATTTAAGTAGCATTAACCAGAATGAAAATTATTTTATATTAATATATAATATAAAGTAAAACAAAATCATTAGTTTAGTTATTTTATTCAATCATAGAATGAAGATCTAAAAGATCTTAAGGATCTCATTTGCTTATTATGTATAAATTATCTTTCTGAATTGTTATTACTTAAAATTATCTTTTCCTATTATTCAAATTACATTTTTCTAGGAGATATAAAATAACTATTTTTATTAATTTTTTTCATTTTTTCTTTTAATAATTCAAATTTCTTTTCATCATCTTCCTTATTCTTTTAATTCTTTATTATTTTTCTATGTTAAAATATTTTTTATAAATCTTCTTTACATCTTTGATTAGAAGTGTTCTTATTTTAATATTAAACGATTTTATTAATGCTATTACTATAAATACTTGGTTCATGTCTTAGAATAGTACTTTTGCTTCTCTAGATCTTACTTTTTTCATCTTCTAAAAAATTTAAACTTTAACTTATTAATTAGTATATAAGTTTCCCTAAAGAATTTTGTTATTGAGGTATTAAATGATAAAGCTTTTTGCACAAAATAATATTTGCATAATCAATTTTCTTTTCAATAATTGTCTCCACCATTTATGGTAAACTACAGCTCATCAATAATTAAGCCAAAAGCCAATCTTATATTTTTACTCCTTTAACCAACAATATAAAAGCCTAAACACATTAAAATACATCTGTGGCAGGTTTTGCAATCTAAAATTCAATTAAAAAACTATTACAAGAAACTTGTTTTTATTCAGTTATCTAGCTAATTATCTCAAAGTTTCCTAAGTCATTTACAAGATAAATTATATTATAAAAATTTTATCCAAATAGAAATTCAAAGACTTGATTCGTTATTTGAATACAAAATCAATATAAAATAGAAACAATAATTCCAATTAAATCAATCAAATAACTTAAAAATATAAATAAGTTTTTCTTTTTTACTTAAATTTAATGCACTAAAATAATCTATAAATATTAATAATCTTGTGATTTTATCTACTTTTAAATATATATTAATAGAATGATTAAATGAAAAAAAGCTTATAAGTATTATTAAAATTAAAAATTATAATACTGAATATATCAAAATTGTTAAAATAATACAATGAAAATATTGTAAATCATTATAATTTATTGAAATAAATAATTAAATCAATTATGATTATTGTCATATTATCTTTTTTATAGTTAGTCTATTATTTTTATGCTGATTCTAGTAAATATTGTGAAAGACCTTCTTTATCTTTAAAGTTTTCCCAATTTATTAGTAACTTTTAAAGTATTTATATAGTAATCACATCCCAAAATCCATCTGTGGCTAGAATTAAATATTTAGAATTTTCATTCAATTATAACTTAGTGATTTCAGGAATAGCAGTTAATCCATGTTCAATATATTTTGGATCACCAAAAGATCTACTCACTGCCAATTCACCATTAATTCTAGCCTAATTTCTATTTAATTGTGTTTATACTTAATGGTCAAAACAAATCCATTGTTATCCATAATTCTTTTTGATTCATCTAATCTATCTGGTTTATGTTCTTAATTTAATTTAGTAATTTAGAAATCTTTATCAATCAATACACAAGCACTATCACCAACATTGATTACAAATAACTCTTTACCTACATTTATAACACATAAAGCAGTTGAACCTCCGTCTTTCATCAATAAATGTTATTATTTAAGAATATCAATATTCATTTAATTAAAACCTTTTTGGAGAAATATAAAGTTATGTATACTTTCTAAAATAGCTTATTCAATATCAATATTGAAAAACTTATTATTTTTTAAATGAAAATGTAATTGTTCTCTAAGTAATTTAGCCACATAAGACCCACCATGACCATCAAAGACTCCAAAATAAAATTATTATTATTTTCCATCAAAGTCTGCAATAGCTTAAAACTAGTGAGTTATTCTAAGAATTAAATACCCTATCTTCCATAGTAATCCTTCCACATCTTTTAGTACTAACTTCTCCATAAGTTATATTATCAATTTTAATTACATCAAAATAATCATAATATTCCCTTGGATAACTTATAAATAGTATACTAGCCATCACTGTCTAAGTAAGGGGATGTTTTTTCTGAAGAACTTGAGCTCTTTAATTCAATTTTTAAGTTATAAGTCTTTTTCATATAGTGAAACCAATTTATCAATAAAATAATATAAAATCAATTAATTTACCTATTCCTTAACTTATAGGTGGATTCAGTTAACTTTACTTTTTTTATGATATTTGGTTCTGGTTCAGGATTTGGATTTTAACTGGCAAAAGTTGATGATGGTTAATTATTATCAATAAATTTTGAAATAGCTTCTTAATATTCTTCTAATGATATTTTACCATCACTATTCTTATCCATTTCTTATAATAATTGATCCCATTAATTTTCATCTTAAACTTATATTTTCCCATTAAAAATTTTTTTAATTTCATCAATTTCTAAAAATCCATCTCCATTTTGATCTAATAAATGAAATGCTTCTTTAAGTTAATCATGAGAAGCTAATTTTTTCATATCAACAGCAGCTGTCAAGAATTCTGTAAATTCTATATATCCATTTTTATCAGTATCTACTCTATTGAATAAATCTTCAACATCTATATCATCATTACAATGTGCTTTTAATTCTTCCATACTTAATTTTCCATCACCATTCTTATCAAGTTCTTAAAATGTTTATCTTAATTACTTATATTTTTCTAATGTCAAATTTTATTAAATCATAAGGTGAAAAGTAGCTTAAACCATTTTACTTTCACAACAAAATCTGGATAATTTTTAAAGTCTATATTACATTTCATTAGATGATATTTCTTTAGTAACTGATTTATTTTACTTTTAAATCCATTCACTTTCTAATGCCTATAATGCACTATATCTTTTAATAGGATCAGTCTCTAATAATTTTTTTAATAAATTCTTAGCATCTTCTGAAATTGTCTTCCAAACTTTCTATTTCAAATTAATTTTAGATTAAACAATTTTCTTTTCTATTTCTCCTGTATTATCTCCTGGAAATGGAACTTCACCAGATAATAGAATGTATAAAATCACACCACAAGACCATAGATCACATTTTTAATCATATTCTTTTTCTAAGAGAACTTCTGGAGCTGCATAATCAATAGTTCCTATTTTCTATTTTATTGATACAAGATTTGTCATATCTTTACTCAATCCCCAATCTATAATTTTTATATGTTAATCTGTAGGATCAATAAGAATATTTTCAGGTTTGATATCACGATGCATAATATTTTTATCATGTGCATATGCTATAGCACTTAAAATCTACTTAAAAATATATCTGACTTCTTCTTCAGAAAAGATTTAATGTTATTTAATTCTTTTGTGAATTTCATCAAATAATTCAATACCTTCACATAGCTGACTTACAATATAATAATAATTTTCATCTTAAGCTATCTCATAAACAGCCATTATATTTGGATGATCAAGCTTTTTCATATTCTCAATTTCATTTTAATCTGTGAAATCCTTTTTAGCAATTATTTTCAAAGCTCTTAATTCATTTGCTTAATTTCTTATTTTGTATACTTTTCCAAAGCTTCCTTATCCTATTAGACTAATCCTTTGATATCTCTTCATAATATCATTTTTTATGTTGACAATCAGATTTCCTGAATTAACTAACATAAATTTATTAATGGCCTAATTAACTCATATAAGTTCAAGTTTCAAAATGGGAATTTTATGTATGGCTAATGTTTGTAAGATAAATAATTCAATTTTAACAAGAGTTTTACATTCAAAATGCTCAGCAACTAATCTATAAAACTTCCCATTTTGTACAATTGATCTAAATAAAGCAGTAGTTAAAGTTCTATATCCTAGATTTGATTATTTATGTTAGATCTTCACACCTAAATCATAGATCTTCTCTACTTTAGGTATTAATCAGCATGAGTAGATGAATTTAACAAAAGAATTATAAAGTATGAAGCTAATAAAAATGTTTCAATTGAAGCTAGAGAAATGATAGATATCATTTATTAGGATTGATTAGATTTTTAACTGTTAGTTCATTTGAAGTTAGAAAATGATCTAGAAAGAAAAATATTAAAGCAAATTAAGCAGCTGCTATAATTCATTCAAATTTTGAAAAGAGTTATCATTTATTAACAAAGGAATTTTTGATATCAGAGGTTACATCTTTTGATAAATTAAGAAAATTAGGGGATAATTCTATAAATATCTATTTGTGTATTTTTATTTATTATTATTAATTTTAGAATATATAATAGTCTTATATCTTATATTGTTGAACTATATATATATCAAATAAAGTCTAACTTTTATTATTGCTACTATGCTTATGGTTTTTATCCTACTGCCAAATTAAGTATATTATCAAATTCATTTTCTGGTTTCTTTTATTGTGCAGATATGTCTAAAATATATATATTAATTCATTTTACTGCTAATAACTGGATATTATTACTAAGGGAATCCTTATTATTGATAGGGTTAAGTTTATTAGTATGGAATAGGTTAAGTTGGTTACTATTAAAATGCTTAGTACTTTATTTGTTGTTATCCAAACTATTATTGTTGATATAATTATTGTAACTTTCAATAAAATAAAATTAATACATTTTATTATGGAGGATATTATTATTAAGGAGGATATTGTTATTATTATTAAGGTGGATATTATTATTATTAAGGTTGATATTATTATTATTATTAAGGTGGATATTATTATTATTATTAAGGTGGATATTATTATTATTATTAAGGAGGAAATGCGTTCAAAGCAGAATAATTAGATTATTATGGAATTTATGAAATAGGAGGTTATCCATAAAGTTAAGATTATTGTATTGGTTGTTATCCAAACTATTACATAGGTGGAATTTATGATATTGGTGGAAGTTATGATATTTGTGGAACTTATGTTGAAACTTATGATTATTGTTATTAAGTTATAATTGATGTCAATTATGGTTATTATGGTTATGGATTTGACATATCGACATCAAACAAATCGATTCTTAATATGCTATTAATATCAAAGATTACGTGTTTTATTATTTTTCAGGTTAAATTGCTTATGTTGGTTATGGACCTTTTTATTATGCTGCTGGTACTGGATCATATTCAAATAAATTTAATAAATCGATTTATTGAGGTTTTGGTTATGGAGGTTGTTGAATTGGTTACTAATTTGGAGGAGGAATACTAAAAGGATTCTATTATTATTGGAAGGGACCTTGTTGTATAGTTTATGGTTGAGCTATTGTTTATTGAGGCACTTATTATTATTATTGTTATTATGCTTATTCAGGTCTGAAAGGATCAGGTTTCTTATGCTTTTTCAACACTTCATATCTAGTAAAAGTCTAAATCAGTTATAAACAAGATTACTCTAAGTAAATCATCATTCAATTCTAAGCAAAAGTTCATCAACCCTTCATCATTGTTTCCCATATCAGTAATTAAACTAGTTTGAAATTAACTTATTACTTTCTTAGTTTTTCTTCAACTCCTCTCAAAGTTGTTGTCATATCTTTAAGGATTTCGTTTTTACTTGCATCTTCTTATGGATTAGCATTATCAATGATTTCCTAGAATTTAGTTTTTTTGATTACATTGGTCAAAGTGATATTGGATTTAACAATTTCTAGATCACGTCGAAGTTTATCATTTTTGGAGTTGCCCTTTATAAATTATATAGAAAATGTTACAGATCCTAAACTGTTTACTCTTGCTCCTGTAGAATATGTTGGTTGTGCCTTTCTAAGTACTGCATATTTGCTTTCATAATTGTTGGGTAATTGATCTAAAAAGCAGATGCTAGAAGACAGTTACGTTTAAGAGAGATCTTTTGCAAAAATTGGAAGAAGGCAGGAAATAGATCCTGGTGTGATTACATAAGTGTCTTAAGTACTGTGATCACTTAAAGTAATCTTTATTGCATCTAATTTGGTAAATGAGAGAATTACTTGGGCATTCATTTATGGGTTAAGGAGGGTATTGAGTCTTTATAGAAAGTCATTGGTAGCAATCTAAGTGTAGAAAGGTGTTTCGCAAGTGAATGCAAGATATTCAATGAGCTCCATAGTGAGGGCTTGCACCTTACCATTACGAAGCTACATGAGTCTCTTGCCTATTGCCTATACTGCAAATTTAGATCTATGGTTTGAATTAGAAACTTACTAATCAGCTCTTTAGTTGACAAGGTCAGCTACCTATTTCATTAATTTCTAATCTGGCATTTAGAGTGTATCTGCAGTTGCCTCATTGACTGCTCTCTCAACAGGATTCTCCATTTTTTTTTTTAATTTAAATTTTACAAAATAATAAAATGAGGGGGGTATAGAAGGAAGAAGTGTGAAAGAGAATAGTAAAAGAGAGATATTTTATATTTATATAAATTTTTATATAAAAATGGCATAAATTTCATAAAAGCAAAGAGGTGTCTTCTCTGAAGTGTTAGACCCTACTTTACCTAGTGAATACAATGTCAAGAATTATAATCAGGGTCCATCACCTGATTTAATCATGACAACTATAAGTCGATAAACAATTCCTAAAGCAATCTCCTTGCAACGGTTACAAACATCAGGCTCTAGTAGACAACAATTACGCTCTGATTTAGCATCACGACAAGTACCAAGGAATCAGTTGAAGACAAGATAAAAAAATGAACAAGTTACAAGTGTAGAACCAAAAGTAAATTATTTTGTGGCATTATTAGGTGATATTACCATATGATCCTATTCCTGGTGAAGTACCTAGGAAAGTGGCTATAGATAGAAAAAGAAAGGAGTTTAGATCTCTTGATTTTAATAGATTACTTTAAGAAGCTGGAATTGATTTTAAATAAAAGGATTAAAGTGTAGAGTGGTTAAAACTTGAATATTTTGATGATACTACATATGATGATAATAGTAATGAGGATTGGATAAGAAGAGAAGAGGATGAAGAAGGAATTAAACATCCATTATTAGGTTTGGGATTAAGAGGAGAAGAATATTAATATTTAGAAATTTTAGAATATAAATCTGAGAAATTTATAGGCAAATGGTTGAAAGATGATGAGAGATTAGAATTACATAGATTATATATTTGTTTTGATGCAGAAGATCCACGTAAGTATGTTAAGAGATTAAATAATGCATTTTAATAAAGGATTTATGCTGATGCTCTTGTTAGATATAATTATTACATAGATAATATGTCATTATTTGATTTAAGTGAATTAGACAATGAATAAAAGAAAAGAATAGAGTAGAATGCAAAGACAAAGAAATTAGAAGCTATGGAAACAACTCAATTACTTTTAGAAGTTAATATGGATTTTTAGAGAACTATGAATAAAATAATATTTGATAAATATTTAGATGATGAACAATTAGATGAAAATTATCCAAAATTGAGATTGCCTGCAAAAGAAAAAAAGAAAGAAATTCGTTATTATGGTTGGATGGAACTTGAAGCATCTAAAGGAGTTATGGAAAAATGGATGTTTAAATATGATGAACCATTTATTAGAAAACCTTTGACTTTTGATGAATTAAATAAGAATTTTGGATTTTCTACTTTATATGTGAGTTAAGAAGTAGTTAAGGCTTTGTAAGATATCAGACATGAATGCAATTAAGTATTAAAAGAGAGTTTGTTTGATTTTTCTAAAAGAGAAGGTGCACTACATTTAGATGAATTCAAACACATGTAAGAAAATGCAACTACATCATTGATGTATTAATTGAAAGGTACATGGGTTCCTACTATGATCAAAATTATCAAAGATAGATTTGCTGAAATTGGAAAGGGATGGTTCAATATGAAAGAAACATCTAAAATAACATATGATTTTGGTAAATTGAAACGCATGTTAACAGTTATTAGGTTGATGATGCAAGACACAATTACAACACTTATGAAATCTAATTTTGATAGATATTAAAAGACTATTAAAAGCAATATACCTGTTAATGTTGATATTAAAAATACTGGATGGGTTTTGAATCAATATGATGATGGATATTTGGCAGATAATAAAGTTCAAGTTTTTAGTCATGATAGAAAACTACCCTTATTTTAGATAGAATTATTAGCAAAGGATGATTTCTTCTAATTCACTACTAATCCTACTTTATATGTTTTAATATCCTTGTAAGCAATGAAAAAAGCAGTTGATGAAATGGCTAAGATACCAGATTTAGAACCAAGAATCTTGTCTGATTTACATAAATCTCAAAAACTAGAAACCTTTATTAAGGCTCCAATAATGCCAATCTAAGAACCTGTTGAACCAGATCCTAATGAAAGACCTAGAAAATTTGCAGATGAAAATAAATGGGTATGGGATACTTACTATTGTGTCAAAGCATCTATTGAAGAAGCATTAAAACCATTAGAATAATACAAAACTGTTTTTAATAAATATATTCCAGTCTTAAAATTGAGACCAGATGATGTGGCAAGAGATATTGAATTAGAAGATCCTCCAAGAGAATTCGAATAAATTCGTGATGAAATAATAAAAGCTGCTTAGAAGGAAAAATAATTAAATGAAGAAATACTAGATTCTATACATGTAGGAATGTTTGAAATTCATTTGAATGAAGCTAAAGGGATATTAATTGAAAGATACTAAGCACTTTAAAAAAATCTTATTGATCTTATTGCTAGAAGAGCAAGAAATACTAGTATTAGATTATTTCAAGAATTTGGGGATATCAAGAAGACAATACTTGAAGAACCTGATACAATAGAAAAGTTGACAATATTAAAGGAATATATAGGTAATTTACCATAGGAATTGGATAAAATGAAAATTAAAATGAATTAATTATTTGATGTATTCAAGATGTTAGAAGAATTCAATTACAGATTTCCATTAGATGATTTTCAAAGAAGATGGAAGATATTTGGAAGTCCAAAAGAAATAAAAGAGATGGTTGAAGTTAGAAATGGATAATTGGAGAAATTAAAAGTGAAATTCTCTGATGATGCTAAAGTTTAATAAGAAGATTTTAGAGAATAAATTGAAAATTTGGAGAGAACTATTCAAGAATTTCATAAACATTAAGATGTGAGTAAGAATAAAGAAATGGCAGAAGTGGTTGAATATGTGATGAAATAAATAAGTGAATTTTAGGATTAAGCTAATAAATTTAATATGTAAGAAGCATTATTTGATAAACCTTAAACAGATTATTCCAAATTGAATTCTATGTCTAGGGAATTCAAACCCTATTATGATTTATGGTCTAGCACTTATAAATTTAAGAGTGGTATTAAATTATGGTTGAATGATGATTTTATGAATGTTGATGCTGATGAATGTGAAAAGATAGTTGAAGAAGGTGTTAAAAATATATAAACAGCTATGAGAACAATTCAAGTAACAGGTATCCAAAAGATTGCTGAAGCTGTAAAAGCAGAGATTGATGAATTTAGACCAAAAGTTCCATTATTATCAGCTCTAAGGAAAAAAGGTATGACAGTAAGACATTGGACATAAGTATCTTAATTGAAAGGACTAGATCATGTTATTAATCCTGAAGAATAGGGATTCTGTTTTTAAACAATTTTGAATGATGGATTTATGGATGTTATTGATAAAGTTGTTAATGTTGGAGAAACTGCAAGTAAAGAATACTAAATAGAAATGATGCTTGATAATATGCTTAATGCTTGGGAGAATATTAAATTTTAATGTGTTCAATACAAAAATACATTTATTCTTAAAGGATTTGATGAAATTTAAATAGTTTTAGATGAACATATTATAAATACTTCAGCAATGGTATTCTCACCTTTTAAGAAATTCTTTGAAGAAAGAATTAGTGAATGGGATAAGTCATTAAGAAAGATTCAAGATATATTAGAAGAATGGGCAAAATTTTAGTAATAATGGATGTATTTGCAACCCATATTTGATTCACAAGATATTGCTAAATAATTGCCTGCAGAAACCAAGAAGTTTAAGACTGTTGATTAAACATGGAGAACTACTGTTACATAAGCTAAGGCTAAAGAGAAAGTATTAGATGTTTGCATAGAAGATGGATTATGGGAAAGATTACATGAAGCCAATAAGACATTGGAAATGGTTCAAAAAGAATTAAATAATTATTTGGAAAAGAAGAGAGAGAAGTTTGCTAGATTTTACTTTTTATCAAATGATGAATTATTAGAAATTCTATCATAAACTAAAGAACCAACAGCTGTATAACCTCATCTTAAAAAAGTATTTGAGAATATTAATTCAATTGAATTTGATAAGGATAAGAAAATTCATGCTATGTATTCTGCAGAAAAGGAAAAAGTTCCTTTTGTTAAAATAGTTGATCCAAATAAAAAGAATGTTGAAGAATGGATGAATGAAGTTGAAAATATGATGAAATTATCAGTTAGATAAGCATTAATGGTTAGTATTGAAAATTATACATAAATAAATAGAGAAGAATGGGTTTTGAAACATCCAGGTTAATGTGTATTGAATGGATCATAAGTACATTGGACTAAAGAAGTAGAAGCAGCCATTGATGGATAGAATTTAAAAGGATATTTTAAAAAATTGGAAGAACAATTAGGATCCTTAGTTGATTTGGTTAGAACTAAATTATCAAAATAAGCTATGGTTACTATAAATGCTTTGATTGTCATAGATGTACATGCAAAAGATGTAGTATAGAAGATGGTGGATAGTGAAGTATATGATAAGTTTGCATTTGAATGGATATCACAATTAAGATATTATTGGGAGAATTAATAAGTAGATTTTGATTGTTGGGTAAAATGTGTATAAACCAATTTCCCATATGGTTATGAATATCTAGGAAATACATTGAGATTAGTTATTACTCCATTAACTGATAAATGTTATATGACATTAATGGGTGCATTAAGATTGAATTTGGGAGGAGCTCCAGCAGGTCCAGCTGGCACAGGTAAAACTGAATCAACAAAAGATTTAGCAAAAGCTTTGGCAAAACAATGTGTTGTGTTTAATTGTTCAGACTCTATGGATTTTATTATGGTTGGTAAATTCTTTAAGGGATTAGCATCAGCTGGTGCTTGGGCTTGTTTTGATGAATTTAATCGTATCAATATTGAAGTGTTATCAGTCATTGCTTAATAATTGTTAGTGTTATTTGGAGAAAAAGCAAAAGGAACTCCTTAAGTAGAATTTGAAGGTTCATTTATTAAAATTTTACCTACATTTTCAGTATTTATCACTATGAATCCTGGTTATGCTGGAAGAACAGAATTACCTGATAATTTAAAGGCCCTTTTTAGACCAGTGGCTATGATGGTTCCAGATTATGCTATGATTGGAGAAATTATGCTTTATTCATTTGGTTTTAAATTAGGAAGAGATTTATCTAAAAAGATGGTTACTACATTTAAATTAAGTTCAGAATAATTATCATCTTAAGATCATTATGATTATGGTATGAGAGCAGTAAGATCTGTGATTAATGCAGCAGGTCTATTAAAAGTTTAATTCCCAGATATGAATGAAGAATAATTATTATTAAGAGCACTTAGAGATGTAAATGTTCCTAAATTTTTAAAAGATGATCTACCATTATTTGAAAATATCATATCAGATTTATTCCCTGGTTTAGAGAGACCACAATATGATTATGGTAAATTGATTCCAGAATTATCATTATAATGTGAAAAGTATATTTTCAAAGAATAACCATATCCTGTTCAACCTGTCTAACCATTTATTGATAAGGTGTTATAACTTTATGATACAATTTAAGTTAGACATGGATTGATGTTGGTTGGTCCAACAGGAGGTGGAAAGACAACTAATTACTAAATCCTATCAAAATCAATGACAAAATTAGGAGAAGCCAATGGATTTTATAAAGTACATACACACATATTGAATCCAAAATCAATAACTATGGGTTAGTTGTATGGTTAATTCAATGAATAAACTCATGAATGGACTGATGGAGTTTTAGCTTATATGGTGAGAGAAGCAGTGAAAGATACAAGTTCAGATAGACATTGGATAATGTTTGATGGACCTGTTGATGCCTTATGGATAGAATCCATGAATACTGTATTGGATGATAATAAAAAATTATGTTTGAATAGTGGTTAGATATTGACATTGACTCAATATATGACAATGATGTTTGAAGTAGAAGATTTGGCTGTTGCTTCACCAGCCACTGTTTCAAGATGTGGTATGGTATACATGGAGCCTAGAGCAATGGGTGTGTAACCATTAATTGATTCATATATTTAAAGATTTCCTATCAACATTAAAAATAAAAAGAAAGAAGTTTTGAATAATTTGATAAAGTGGTTCTAGTTATATGTTGAAGAGGCTCTTGAATTTACATATAAACATTGTAAAGAAGTTATTCCTACAATGAGAAACAATTTAGTATAATCACAATAGAGAATTATTGACAGTTTAATTTCTCCATATGTAGAAACAGAAATTAAAAAAGTCTCTGTTGATGAACTTGATTAATTGAATTAGAATATTGAATACTTTTTCCATTATTCCTTAATTTGGAGCATTATGGTAACAGGAGATTTCTAAAGTAGATAAAAATGTGATAAGTTTCATAGATAATAGATGTAAAAATATAAAGCAAATTTTGAATATCCAAAAGAAGGGTTGATTTATGATTATTAAGTAAATTTATTGCCTTGGAGTGATACATATTAATCATTTGAAATTGATTAGAAATTATAATTCCATGAAATTGTGATACCTACTACTGATTCTGTTCGTAATATGTATTTGATGAAATTACTATTAACAAATAATTTCCATGTTTGTTGCCCAGGACCTACAGGTACAGGTAAATCTTAGAATTCATATCAATTATTGATAATGGGTATGCCTGAAGATTTTCAATATGTTCCATTAACTTTTAGTGCTTAGACATCAGCAAATTAAACACAAGATACAATTGATTCTTGGATTGATAAAAGAAGAAAAGGAGTTAGAGGACCACCTGTTGGAAAGAGATAAGTCATTTTTGTAGATGATCTAAATATGCCTAAGAAAGAAGAATATGGTGCTTAACCACCTATAGAATTGATTAGATAAATATTAGATCATTAAGGTTGGTATAATAGATAAGATCTACAATTTGTCAAATTAGAAGGATTACTTATATTGTCAGCTATGGGACCCCCTGGTGGTGGTAGAAGTAATATTACAGGTAGAGCAGTCAGACACTTTAATGTTTTAGCATATACAGAATTGGATGAAGAAGTCATTAAAACAATATTTTAAAAAATAGTTTAATTTTATTATAAGAAATTCAGTGAGACAGTATAAATGTTATAGATGCAAATGATTAATAGTGTTTTAAGTATTTACAATTCAGTCAGAAGAGATTTGTTGCCTACTCCATCTAAAAGTCATTATACTTTCAATTTAAGAGATATTAATAAAGTCTTTTAAGGAATTTGTGGTATTTTACCTAAAAACTGTTAAGAACCTGCTCAATTAGTTAAATTATGGTATCATGAAAATATGAGAGTATTTCATGATAGATTGATTAATGAATAAGATCGTGTCTATTTTAAATAACTACTTACTTAATATTTTGTTGATTTTGGATTAAAATAAGAAGAAGTCTTAGATTAGGAAAGAATCATATTTTGTGATTTCTTAGGTAATAGAGATTTGGATGTAAGACCATACGTTTAAGTATAGGGAGATCTACAATATTTTGTTGGTTAAATGGAAGAATTATTAGATCAATACAATAAGGATGTTGGGAGTGGAAAGAAATAGATGAAATTAGTTATGTTCTTGGATGCTTGTGAACACATAACAAGGATTAGCAGAATACTTAGATAACCTGGTGGAAATGCTTTATTACTTGGTATTGGTGGTAGTGGTAGATAATCATTAACTAGGATGGGTACCTATTTATAGAATTATAAATTACAACAGATAGAAGTTCTTAAGAATTATAATATGAGAGCTTGGAGAGATGATGTTAAAAAGATTATTATGTTGGCTGGTGTTGAAAATAAATGTGTCTCATTTGTATTTGTTGATACTCAAATTATTAATGAATAAATGTTAGAAGATATTAATGGTATTTTAAATTCTGGTGATGTTACAAATCTATATAATGATAAAGATAATGAAGATATTACTTAAGCATGCAAAGCAGAATGTATTAAAAAAGGACTTCCTCCTAATAGAATGAACATATTCTCTGTCTATTTGGCCAGAGTTAAGAAAAATATGCATATGGTTATTGCAATGTCACCTATAGGAGATGCATTTACAACAAGATTAAGAATGTTTCCATCTTTAGTGAATTGTTGCACAATTGATTGGTTTACTGAATGGCCAGAAGAAGCACTTGAAGGTGTTGGAAGAGGATAACTTGTAGAAGTAGCTTAATAATTAGATTTAGATATAAAAAATACAAGATTGGTAGATATGTTTAAGTATATGCATAAATTTGTTGAAAAATTATCATTATAATATAAATCTGAACTTAGAAGAATTAATTATGTTACTCCAACTTCTTATTTAGAACTATTAAGTTTATACATCAATATTGTACAAGATAAAAGAAATGATTTGAAAGCTTAGATTCTTAGACTTAAAAATGGTTTGGATAAATTATAAGATGCCAATAAGGCTGTTGCTGAAATGAAAATAGTTTTGGAGAAAATGTAACCTGAATTAGAATAAGCATAAATTGAAACAACTAAAATGATGGAACATTTAAAAGTGGAAAAAGAAGAAGCTGATCAAACTTAAAGAGTTGTTGCTGTATAAGAGGCTGAAGCTACTCAATAAGCTAGAGAAGCTAATTTAGTTGCTTAAGAAGCAGGTGAAAGAGTCAGAGTTGCTAATGAAGAGTTAGCATAAACATTATTGAAAGTTAAGGAATTATAAAAGGATCACTTAGTTGAATTGAAATCATTATCATCTCCACCTGAAGCTGTCAAAGTTGTTTTAGCAGGTGTTGTGATACTTACTACAGATTATATTAAGAAGTCTGGTGGTGAAATTATCACATAGCCAGTACCAAATTAAATTGGTAAGAAGGAAGAGAATTATTTTGAGACTGCTAAGAAATATTTACTTAATGATGTTAATTCTTTATTATCATTGTTATTAGAGAAATTTGATAAAGAGAGTATCAATCCAGCTGCTATTCTTAAGATGGAATAGAAAGTTACTTGTCATCCTAAATTTAATTCAAATGATGCATTTTAAGGATCTAAAGCTACAGGTTATTTGTTTGGTTGGTGTAAATGTATGTATGATTTCTACAAAGTATATACTGAAACTAAACCTTTAAGAGAAAAGTTAGCACTTATGACAAAAATAGTTGAAGAGAAAAATAAAGAATTAGCTATAAGGAAAAAAGAATTGGATGAAATTAATGCAAAAATAAGAGAATTATAAAGAGTTTTTGATGATAAGAAGAAATAATAAGAAGATTTATAGAAGAAGATTAAAGAATGTGAAATTAAGTTAGAAAGAGCTTAAAAGTTGACAGAAGGATTGAGTGATGAAAAAGAAAGATGGGCAAAAGATATTGAAAATCTAACTAATAGTGGTGGTTTAATACCTGGTAATTCTATTATAGCAGCAGGAATGGTTGCATATTCTGGACCTTTTGTATCTTAATATCGTATTAAGATGGAATAAGATTGGAGAGCTAAATTAAAAGAATATAACATTCCATTCNAACTTGTAGAAGTAGCTTAATAATTAGATTTAGATATAAAAAATACAAGATTGGTAGATATGTTTAAGTATATGCATAAATTTGTTGAAAAATTATCATTATAATATAAATCTGAACTTAGAAGAATTAATTATGTTACTCCAACTTCTTATTTAGAACTATTAAGTTTATACATCAATATTGTACAAGATAAAAGAAATGATTTGAAAGCTTAGATTCTTAGACTTAAAAATGGTTTGGATAAATTATAAGATGCCAATAAGGCTGTTGCTGAAATGAAAATAGTTTTGGAGAAAATGTAACCTGAATTAGAATAAGCATAAATTGAAACAACTAAAATGATGGAACATTTAAAAGTGGAAAAAGAAGAAGCTGATCAAACTTAAAGAGTTGTTGCTGTATAAGAGGCTGAAGCTACTCAATAAGCTAGAGAAGCTAATTTAGTTGCTTAAGAAGCAGGTGAAAGAGTCAGAGTTGCTAATGAAGAGTTAGCATAAACATTATTGAAAGTTAAGGAATTATAAAAGGATCACTTAGTTGAATTGAAATCATTATCATCTCCACCTGAAGCTGTCAAAGTTGTTTTAGCAGGTGTTGTGATACTTACTACAGATTATATTAAGAAGTCTGGTGGTGAAATTATCACATAGCCAGTACCAAATTAAATTGGTAAGAAGGAAGAGAATTATTTTGAGACTGCTAAGAAATATTTACTTAATGATGTTAATTCTTTATTATCATTGTTATTAGAGAAATTTGATAAAGAGAGTATCAATCCAGCTGCTATTCTTAAGATGGAATAGAAAGTTACTTGTCATCCTAAATTTAATTCAAATGATGCATTTTAAGGATCTAAAGCTACAGGTTATTTGTTTGGTTGGTGTAAATGTATGTATGATTTCTACAAAGTATATACTGAAACTAAACCTTTAAGAGAAAAGTTAGCACTTATGACAAAAATAGTTGAAGAGAAAAATAAAGAATTAGCTATAAGGAAAAAAGAATTGGATGAAATTAATGCAAAAATAAGAGAATTATAAAGAGTTTTTGATGATAAGAAGAAATAATAAGAAGATTTATAGAAGAAGATTAAAGAATGTGAAATTAAGTTAGAAAGAGCTTAAAAGTTGACAGAAGGATTGAGTGATGAAAAAGAAAGATGGGCAAAAGATATTGAAAATCTAACTAATAGTGGTGGTTTAATACCTGGTAATTCTATTATAGCAGCAGGAATGGTTGCATATTCTGGACCTTTTGTATCTTAATATCGTATTAAGATGGAATAAGATTGGAGAGCTAAATTAAAAGAATATAACATTCCATTCTACTGATTTAATTACAATGAGAAAATTCTTAGGGGATGAAGTTAAAATTCAATAATGGAATATTTGTGGATTACCTAAAGATGACACATCTATTGAAAATGGTATCATAATTGATAAGAGTAGAAGATGGACTTTAATGATTGATCCACAATCATAAGCTAATAAATATATAAAGACTATGGGAAAAGATTTACCAGAAGGATTAGATGTGTTAAAATAATCAGATCAAAATTTGATGAGAACATTAGAATTAGCAATTCAATTTGGTAAATGGGTTTTGGTAGAAAATGTTGGATTATCTTTAGATCCATCTTTGGAACCTATTCTATTATAATAAATCAACAAGACTGGAACATCTGCTACAATATAAATTGGTGATAAAAATCTACAATATAATTTTAGTTTCAGATTCTTTATGACAACTACTTTACCAAATCCTCATTATTCACCTGAAACTTCTGTTAAAGTAACAATTATCAATTTTGCAATTACTCCTTTGGGATTAGAAGAGTAGATGTTAGCATAAATTGTAGCATTAGAGAATCCTAATTTAGAAAATAAGAAGACAGAAATAGTTAGAAAGAATGCATAAGATAAAAAAGAATTAGTTAATATAGAAGATAGTATTTTAAGAAGTTTATCTGAAACAAAAGGTGATATTTCAGAAATATTGATGGATGAGACTTTAATTAATAAGTTATAAAATTCAAAGAAATTTGCAGCAGAAATTAATCAAAGAGTGAAGGATTCTAAAATAACTGAAGCTTAAATAGATGAAGCAAGAGAATCATATAGATCAGTTGCATTTAGAGCTTCATTACTTTTCTTTTGTATTATAGATTTATCAACAATTGATCCTATGTATTAATATTCATTATAATGGTTTATCAACTTATTTACTTTGGGTGTTTAAAATGCTCCAGCATCATAGGTTTTAGAAGAAAGATTGAATCATCTTAATAATTTCTTTACATATATGTTATATGAAAATGTTTGTAGATCATTATTTGAGAAACATAAATTACTATTTTCATTTATGTTAACCTATAAAATATTGAGTGCTGCTCATAAAATGAATGAAGGAGAATGGAGATATTTATTATAGGGTGCTACAGGAGATGTTTAATTGGCACCTAATCCAACTGAATGGATTAGTGAAAATACATGGCCAGAAACATATAGAAATATATATGGTATGTCAGAATTAACTAATTTTGATGGTGTTTTATCTGATTTCATGAGTAATTCTGATAAATTTAAAACAATCTTTGATGCTCCCAATCCTTAAGATATAGAATTCCCAGAACCTTGGAATGTTAAATTAGATTCTTTTTCAAGAATATTATTATTAAAAGCAATTCGAAGTGATAAAGTAATTCCAGCTATTTAAAAATGGATTATAGAAAAGATGGATGAGAAATTTATCATTCCACCTACTTTTGATTTGAGTAAATGCTACAAAGATTCTACTCCAAATACTCCACTCATTTTTGTTTTATCTCCTGGTTCAGATCCTATTGCAGATCTAATGAAATTTGCAGAAGAAATGAATATGACTAAAAGAATTGATTCAATTTCTTTGGGATAAGGATAAGGTCCAAAAGCTGAAAAATTAGTTAAAGATGCTTTAGGAAGAGGTGGATGGGCATTGTTAATGAATTGTCATTTAGCAACATCTTGGATGAATGATCTTGAAAAATTAAATGAAGAAATGTAAGATTAAGGAACAAAAGATTTTAGATTATGGTTAACATCTATGCCTTCAAAATCATTCCCAACTATTGTATTATAAAATGGTGTAAAAATGACACTTGAACCACCAAAAGGTCTTAGAAATAATATGCTCAGAACTTATACTTAATTAGATGATAAAACATTAAATGATTGTAAGAAACCAGNGGATTAGAAGAGTAGATGTTAGCATAAATTGTAGCATTAGAGAATCCTAATTTAGAAAATAAGAAGACAGAAATAGTTAGAAAGAATGCATAAGATAAAAAAGAATTAGTTAATATAGAAGATAGTATTTTAAGAAGTTTATCTGAAACAAAAGGTGATATTTCAGAAATATTGATGGATGAGACTTTAATTAATAAGTTATAAAATTCAAAGAAATTTGCAGCAGAAATTAATCAAAGAGTGAAGGATTCTAAAATAACTGAAGCTTAAATAGATGAAGCAAGAGAATCATATAGATCAGTTGCATTTAGAGCTTCATTACTTTTCTTTTGTATTATAGATTTATCAACAATTGATCCTATGTATTAATATTCATTATAATGGTTTATCAACTTATTTACTTTGGGTGTTTAAAATGCTCCAGCATCATAGGTTTTAGAAGAAAGATTGAATCATCTTAATAATTTCTTTACATATATGTTATATGAAAATGTTTGTAGATCATTATTTGAGAAACATAAATTACTATTTTCATTTATGTTAACCTATAAAATATTGAGTGCTGCTCATAAAATGAATGAAGGAGAATGGAGATATTTATTATAGGGTGCTACAGGAGATGTTTAATTGGCACCTAATCCAACTGAATGGATTAGTGAAAATACATGGCCAGAAACATATAGAAATATATATGGTATGTCAGAATTAACTAATTTTGATGGTGTTTTATCTGATTTCATGAGTAATTCTGATAAATTTAAAACAATCTTTGATGCTCCCAATCCTTAAGATATAGAATTCCCAGAACCTTGGAATGTTAAATTAGATTCTTTTTCAAGAATATTATTATTAAAAGCAATTCGAAGTGATAAAGTAATTCCAGCTATTTAAAAATGGATTATAGAAAAGATGGATGAGAAATTTATCATTCCACCTACTTTTGATTTGAGTAAATGCTACAAAGATTCTACTCCAAATACTCCACTCATTTTTGTTTTATCTCCTGGTTCAGATCCTATTGCAGATCTAATGAAATTTGCAGAAGAAATGAATATGACTAAAAGAATTGATTCAATTTCTTTGGGATAAGGATAAGGTCCAAAAGCTGAAAAATTAGTTAAAGATGCTTTAGGAAGAGGTGGATGGGCATTGTTAATGAATTGTCATTTAGCAACATCTTGGATGAATGATCTTGAAAAATTAAATGAAGAAATGTAAGATTAAGGAACAAAAGATTTTAGATTATGGTTAACATCTATGCCTTCAAAATCATTCCCAACTATTGTATTATAAAATGGTGTAAAAATGACACTTGAACCACCAAAAGGTCTTAGAAATAATATGCTCAGAACTTATACTTAATTAGATGATAAAACATTAAATGATTGTAAGAAACCAGAAGAATTCAAAAAGTTATTATTTGGTTTCTCTTTATTCCATGCAATTATATAGGAAAGAAGAAAATTTGGAGCTATTGGATGGAACATTCCTTATGAGTTTACTAATGAAGATCTTACTGTATGTAGAAGACAATTAAAAAGTTTATTAGATGATTATGTACTTATACCATTTAAAGTTATCAATTATCTTGGAGCTGAAATTAATTATGGTGGCAGAGTCACAGATGATAAAGATGTTAGATTAATTAAAACTATTCTCAAATTATATATTTCATAAGAGGCATTAAAAGAAGGCTATTAATTTTTAGTTCCTACTTATTATTAACCCAATGTAGGAGAAAGATAAAATTATATAGAATATATTGAAAAATTACCTTTGAATCCTGAACCTGAAGCATTTGGATTACATAGTAATGCTGAAATTACTAATGCTTAAAATGAAACTAGAATTCTCTTAGAAACTTTATAATCTATTCAACCAAGAACATAATAAGGAGCAGGAAAGTGTAGAGAAGATGTTATTGAAGAATTAGCTAATTTTGTTGAATCTAAAACTCCTGATTTATTTGATATAGATGAGATTTCAAATAGATATCCTACTGATTATCAAGAATCTATGAATACTGTTTTAGTTCAAGAACTTATTCGTTATAATAGATTACTTGCCATTATGAAAACTACACTCTCTAATGTAAAAAAAGCACTTAAAGGATTAATTGTGATGTCTGAAGAAATGGAAAAATTATCAAACAGTCTTTATGATAATTAAGTTCCTTAATTATGGGCAGAAAAAGGATTTCTGAGTTTGAAACCATTGGCTTCCTGGACTCAAGATTTATTAGATAGAATAGCATTTCTTAAACAATGGGTAGAAAAAGGAACACCTAAAGTGTTTTGGATTTCAGGATTTTTCTTCCCTTAAGCTTTCATTACTGGTATGGTACAAAACTACGCCAGAAAACATGTAATTGCTATTGATAAATTACAATATGAATATATAGTTTTGGATACTCTAACTCATACAGGTGTAACTGAGAAACCAGAAGATGGTGTTTATATTTATGGAATATTTTTAGAAGGAACTAAGTATATTTATATTTTAAATTAATTAGATGGGATTACAAGAGACATTTAATATCATAACCTAAGGTTAAGGAATTGTATTCAGATTTACCATTAATGCATTTATTACCATTTGATCCATCATAAGTTGAGGTATAACCTAAAGATCCAAAAGAAAAAAAGATTTATAAATACCAATGTCCATTGTATAAAGTAGTTTCAAGGGTAAAATATTTATAATAAATTTAGGCTGGTACTCTTTCAACAACAGGACATTCTACAAATTTTGTTATGCCACTCGAATTACCATCAAGAGATGATGAAGATGTTTGGATTAGAGCAGGTGCTGCAGCTTTCTTATCATTAAGATATTGAAAATAATATATATTTTTAATTTAATGCAAATGATAAATAAAATTTATGTTTAATATTTATTACAATATATAAAACTATTAACATAAGAATATAAATTTGAATCATAGGATTTATTTATTATCATATTTATTTATTGGAATTAAATTTTGTAGAATTTTTATGAATGTATCAACAAAACGAGTATATTCTTGATTTTTAAATGTAATTTCTAAACCCAGTTAATTAAAATACAAGAAAATCTATATGATAGTTAGTTTTCTTAAATTTGAGAACTTAATTTTTAAATATTATAATAAAAATTATTAAAGAATATTATTTATAATTGGGATAACAATTTTCGAATAATTGAGAGTTGAGAAAATCATTAATATAATTAATTATTAATATTAATATTAATTAGTGTAAATAAATTGATTAACTTGAATTTATTCTCGATTGGATGGAGTTTTTACAGAAAGACTTCTAAATTTAGTTTTATTGAAAATATAATAGTGACATAAAAGGATCACAATATATACACTTGATCACACTACTCAAATTAACTTAGTCTTTTTAAACCCGCACCTCGAATAATGATAATCCATGAGTTCATAATAATATGAGATGCAATTTTAAGATTTTAATTTCTTATTAGGCATAATAGCTTGATTATTACGTAATGAAGGCTAGTAATTTAAATAAAAATTAAAGTTAATGAGTGTGTCACTCTCTGCTTCAGAATGATCTTTAGTCACAGAAAAAGATACATCACATTTTAGGCCCTAGTAAAATAAGCAAGAATTTCTTACTTATGGATAGAGGGGAGAGTACAAATAAAAATCTTACTCCTCTGTTGGTTTAATCAAAGGTTTGGCAAACTCCATAACGTTTTTGTAGTAATCAGCATTTGAGCACCCAGGTTATAAAGATATTCTTGACATTTATTAATAAATTTTTGTACTCTGGAATTCCAATCTTCATGCAAGATTCAACAAAGTATTGTACTGAATATCCTAAATCTTCCACTAATTTGATATCCAATATCAAACCTGAGATAAAAAATTGATTTAAGCCCTTCAAATATTTATATTAATATGATCCAAATGATCTGTAATTGTCTATGGGAATCTAAAATAATTTTGATATATTGTTATGATATACAAATTCAGTTTCTTCCTATTTTAAACCAGAGTTTAGTTATTCATAATACTTCTTGATATATTCACTCAATTCATTCATTTAAACATCACCAAAACTTTATAATCTTTTGGCTACATATTCCCAAGGGGTTTCAGAAAAATCAAGTTAAGTGTAGCACAATTTGATCACCCCAGCAGATTAATCTAAAAGAATTTTGGAAATTTTTTTATAAGGATTTTGACAACTGATACCAGTTTTAAGCATTTCATGCTATCTAATGTGGCGAGCATCTGCAAATAGATGGAAGTCCTTAAATATCATCATATAATTAAGATACTCCTTTCATTCTGTAAGTACTAAGTGGATTTAGAAATTTTTTTGGGAAAACTATTAAATTTACTTCCTTTCCTTTCTAAATATCTGTTTCCTCACCATGTAATGGAGTAGAATGTTGTAATTGATCGATTTACATTATTAATTTATTTATTTTTAAATTATTGGATCTGAAAAAAATTATAAATAGAGTTTCTTATATTAATTATAATTGTATAATTTTAATTGTATTAATTATCAATAAAGTTGATTTAAATTAATTAAATTAGAAAAAAAATCAATTAAATATAAATCTTAAATAAACCAATTTTTATTAGCATTCACTTACTTTAACAAGTAAATTAGTAAGTTCTTCAATTCATACTCCTCAAATTATTTCATATACATTGAAGATTTGATATTTAAAAAACTTTAATAGATTTTGAGTCCAATTGATTTTCTTTTAAGTAAAAAACAATAGTTTAAATCCATAGTTCTATAAAAAATAATTAAATTAGAAAATGAATTAATTAAATGAAACATTATAAAATAATGCTATAAATTTAGATTAAATAGTTCAAATTTAAACACTTTTTATTGTTAAATGAATAAGAATTTATCTAATAATAGGATATTTAAGAAAGAACATATTATTATTATAAATTTTATGAAATTTAACAAAATTTAATTTTAGAACCATGCTCAAAAATTATCTAAATATACACTTAAAAATAGTTGCTATTTTCTCCTAATTATTATAATACTAATAATAGAAATTATTTATTCTAATTGACAATTTAATCTCATGATTTGTCCTAATAATTTAAGCATTGATATTTGAAAGGTGTTAATGTCATTAAATAACAAAAAAAAAAGCATTACTTTTTTAAGCTCTCTTTGTCTTATAAGTGAGAACTTCTTGTTTTTCAAAATAGTACAATATTTATATCCTATTTTAAATAATTTAAGCATATTTGTTATCTAAAAAACTTGATTCTTTCAAAAACATTTATTATTATGATAATAGAGTGAAATATAAAATTTAAGTCTTACTAAGATAAGAAATAAATTAGAATTAGATATGATTTAAGAATAGGAAATTAATTTTAGAGTAATAATTATAGTTATTAAGGAATGAAAGATACAATTATTAATATTTAAGAATATAATTATAATACTTTTCATGACGTAATAATGTCTCAATATAAATGAGTGAGAATCTTGAGTAGTATAATTAATATATGAAAATAGCAGAATCAAATGATAACTCAGAAAAATTGCTGTCAAAATTACTTTTTAATTAAGTTGCCTTCCAACTACCCTAGTAAGTCCAAGAAGAAGCAACTATAGCTTAAATACTAACATATAGAAGTCCCATTTATAAACAATTGCTATACTATTCATTTTGCATTTTGACTTGTATAATAATTAGTAAGATGTTTAGGCGGTATTGGATATTTATTTGCCAGATGGAACTTATCATTAAAGCTAGCTTTGTTATATAGCTAATGTATTGACATAGAGAAAGCAACTCACTTGGTAATAACTTCTTTAGAGAATGAAAAAGAACTAATAAAGATTGGGTTAAAAAAAATGCAGATCAATAAGAGTGAAAAGTAAAGTAAGGTAAAAAGAATAATAATATACAATTTAGTCTTTTGAATATCGTTTGTATACATATTTCTATGAAGATGAATGCTTTAAAGCAATAGAAACACCATTTTAAACCTTAACCCATGAAGAGATTATAAATAATTATTCTAAAGGAGTAGAATCACCTGAAGAAATAGCATCTTAATATGGATATAATAATACAACAATTCCTGATAAAAGTACAGGGAAAATCTTGATTGATGAAATTTTAACACCATTTTATTTGTTTCAAATATTTAGTGTGTGTTTATGGAGTATTGAAGAATATTATGAATATGCAATAGTAATATTTTTGACTTCTATTATTTCAATATTGGTGTAATTAAGAGAAACAAAATAGAATTTTGCAAAACTTAGGTAAATGACTTCTTAAGATTCAGTAGAGAATGTATTTAGAGGACAAAATGATATTGTTATAGAAAATAAACAAATTATAGTGAATAAGACAATTAATAATAATAAATAGAAATTAAGTTCAAAAGCAATTGTACCAGGAGATTTAATAGAAGTTAGAGATGATTGGACAGTTCCATGTGATTGTATTCTATTAAATGGATCTTGTATTATAAATGAATCAATGTTAACAGGAGAATCTATACCAATAATTAAAAATCCAATTTAATTCAATAAATTTATCTATTAACCAAATGAAGACTCAAAATCTATTACTTTATTTGCTGGAACTAAATGTTTAGAAGCAAGACATCCAGAAAAAGGACAAATTCCAGTTTTAGCATTAGCAGTATAGACAGGATTTTCAACAATAAAAGGATAATTAGTTAGATCTATATTATATCCAAAACCAACTACTTTTTCATTTTATAAAGATTCTTTATCATTTATAGCAGTTTTAGCAATGATGTCTTTAGTAGGTTTTTCTTTGACAATAAAAGATTAAATAGATGAATTAAAAGAAGACAATACTACAATATTTTAGATGATAATAAATTCTTTGGATTTGATTACAATTACTGTACCTCCAGCATTACCAACATGTTTATCAATTGGAGTTTCATTTGCTTTAGCTAGATTGAGCAAGAAATCTATTTATTGTATATCACCTAATAAAGTAAATGTGGCTGGGAAAATAACTATAATGTGTTTTGATAAAACAGGTACATTAACAGAAGATGGTTTGGATCTTTATGGAGTACGTTCTATTGGATATAATCATAGTAATTATTTTATATATATATATTTTAATAGAAAAATCAAAGATTTGTTTTTAAGATTTAATTATAGATGTTAATGAATTACCTACTCCTAATGTATAATTTTCAATGAATTTAACAGGATAAAATGTATATGGATAGACTAAATTATAACCAACTTAATTGATTTTAGAAATTATGGCATCTTGTCATGGATTGGCTAAAGTAAATGGTCAATTAATAGGTGATCCTTTGGAAGTGAAAATGTTTGAAGCTACTAATTTTGAATTAGATGATTTACATAATGAAGTCTTTAAAGATAATGATAGAATTTAAATATTAAAAAGATTTGATTTTTCATCAACTCTTTAAAGGATGAGTGTTATAGTTTAAAGAAATGATAAATTAAGAGTGCATGTAAAAGGATCTCCTGAAAAATTAAGAGAATTATGTCATCCTACAACTGTTCCTAGAAGTTTTCATAAGATACTAGAACATTATTCAAAGATGGGCTTTAGAGTATTAGCTTGTGGATCTAAGGTTATTGATAGTGAATGTAATAGAGATAAGGCTGAATGTAATTTAACATTTTTAGGTTTCTTAATTATGTAGAATAAACTTAAACCAGTTACTCGTAGTATAATCTAAACATTATAAGATGCAATGATTAGAACAATTATGGTTACAGGTGATAATGTTTTAACTGCTATTTCTGTTGCTAGATAATGTAATCTTGTATAACCAAATTAACGTATATTTTTGGGAGACATTGCAGAAGAGAAGTTGGATGGAAAGAATCATATAACTTGGAAAGACTTTGATATGAATGATAAAGTATTAAATCCAGAGAATTTATCTCCTGAATTAGATATTAAAGATGATTCTGGGGATGAATTTGAAACACCTGAATTATTTGGATAATAAGAATAGTAATATGAATAATAAATGGAAATCGTAATTGAAGAAAATGAGAAAGTTGCTAATTCTTAACATTATGAAAATAGTAAAAGTATGAATTTGAAGAAGAGCAAATATTAAAGTTATAAGGAATAAGAAGAGTAATTAAAAGCTGAAAATCTTGATCATTTAATAGATGATTAGGATCCATGGAAAACAGATTAACCATTTGTAGTAGCTATATCTGGAAAGGCATTTTAATTATTATTAAATCAAATTGATACAAATCCAAAGGCAAGAAGATTATTTGGTTTGATGTTAGAAAAAGCATAGATTTTTGCAAGAATGAAGCCTGAATAGAAAGCATAACTTATAACACATTTATAAAAGATTAGTAAAAAGGCATTATGTGGAATGTGTGGTGATGGAGCAAATGATTGTGGAGCCTTAAAAGCAGCTGATGTTGGAATCTCTTTATCTGATGCAGAAGCATCAATAGCTGCTCCTTTTACATCTAAGATTTAGAATATATCTTGTGTTGTAAAATTGTTAAGAGAAGGAAGAGCATCTTTGGTTACAAGTTTCTAATGTTTTAAATATATGGCTTTATATAGTATGATTTAATTTGGTACAGTTACTTTGCTTTATTTTACACTTTCAAATATGTCATCATTGGAATATTTTTATATTGATTTATTCATAATTATACCATTAGCTGGAACAATGGGTTAAACTAAAGCATATAAAAAGTTAACTTAATTTTAACCAGGATCAAATCTAATTTCTTTTCCAGTTTTATTATCTGTAATTGGTTAAACTTTAATTTAAATTGGATTTTAAACTTTTGTTTACTTTTATATGAAGAATCAATCATGGTATAGATCAGGAGTGGATATTCATAAAGATATAGGAGATGTTGATGATCATCTTGAAATGGAAATATGTTATGAAAATACAATATTATTTTTATATGCTAATTTCCAATATGTATTCCAATGTGTTGCTTTTTCAATTGGTAAACCATTTAGAAGAGAGTTTTATACAAATATTTATTTCACATTATGGATAATTTTAGCTATGCTCTTTAATAGTTATATTTTCTTAATTGAGAAAAGTGGTTTTTAGGATATTTTTATGGTATAAATGAATATCTATATTTTTTAGTTAATGTTTGAATATGAATCTACAAAGAATGCTGATTTAAATACTGAAATAGATAGATAGTGGATGTATTGGTTATATGGAATTATGATTATAAATTTGATTACTACAATTATATTTGAGAAATACATAGTACCATTTACAACTAGATTTTATAGAGGGAAAAAAAGAAAGTTGTTAAAGAGATACAAATATTCTTAAAATCCATATTTGAATGATCAATTATAATAGAAATGATTATGATAAATATTATTATAAATTAAATTACATGAGTATTGATGAATAGAAATGTATTTTAAGAATTGAGCTTATTGCAGGACATTAAATGTTGTTAGATAAAGATTAATAGAGATGTTTTATTGAATTTAAATTGGATGGAGAAGCAAAATAAAGTAATGAAAAAACAAAACAGGATGATTATTTTGAATAAGTGTTTCATTTTCATTTGAATCAAAATAAGAATGCAAATCGAGAATTATAGATTCTATTATGCAATATTAATAGAGGTGGATATATGTCAAAGTAGACTCTTCATAAAATCAATCTAAGAGAAATGAAATTTTAACTCAATTAGCCTTTTGATTTACCTGTTAAAACTAAAAGTAAATCATTAAATATACTAATTTAGTTAAGGATAAGTTAGTCTCTATCCAAGTTTTTTTCTCATTTATTAATAATCTTTTTGTTGATAATGTAACTGGGGAAGTTATTGTTAATTTATAATCAATGATTCCTTAGAATAAAGGAATATTAGCAATGTCTATAGGTGGCAGTTAAACATCCTATACCTTTTAGGCAGGAACTGAATTGAAGATAATGAATGATTCACCCTATTGTAAATTGACATTGATTTATTATTCAAATGTTATTCCTAAAGATTATTTTGGAATAAATTAAATTAAATTATTGAAATAAGATTGTTTAAAAAAAGAAATATATTTATGTGATTTGAATTGGAAATAAAAAAATAATGAATTAGAAGTTTATTTAGATAAAGTTCAAATAAATACAGGTATGTTTAGATTAAGATTAACATTATCAAGGAAATAAGAAATACCAAAGATTTTAGAAGAGAAATAGTTAGTACCATAAAAAAGAGTTATGGCAATCAAATCTATTAAAATAGATGGATTTCCAACAAAAGAATTAGGTAATGCAAAATATTATCTATAAATTCGTACACCAAATTATTTTTATTTTACTCATCTTAGTGTAATACCATAATGGGATTGTGATATAGCTTTATATGAATAAAATTATACAGTCATACTTTATAATTATTGTGGAGATAAAAAGACTTCTTTTTTAGCTAAATTTGAGAATGGTAATGAAGGAGAATTGAGTTTACCATTTTAATAATTTTTGAAAACTTTTTATGGTTCAAATCCAAATCAATTTTAAAAAGTGACTTAATTTCTTAATTTATAAATGCATAGTGATATTAAATATCATACATCTCTTATGATTGATAATCCTAGAGGTATTGTCAATCTACCAATTACTGAATTTAGTATTAATGAATATTAAGGTAATTACATGATGTTTCAAACTTTTTCCATATATGATTATGTTTAGATACGTAAATATAAAGCAAATAAGGCTGAAATTGCATTTGATATACCATTATATGAAATTGAAAATTAAATATTTTTTGGTGGTTAATAAATACCAATTAAATATGAAAGTGATTAATAAATTAAAGAGGAAGTTATAGAGGAGAAATTAGAAAAAAGTAATTATGTTAAAATTACAGTTCATTCAGTTAAAATAACTAAGAATGAATATTTATAAGTAACAATAACAACTGATGAACTTACTTTTTAAACATCAAAAATATGTGGAATTTATTTTGGATAATCTTTCATATGTAAATTTCCAAATAAATTATCATTTTAATTGGTAAATAGAACAGAAAATGATATAATTTAAGATACATATACTTCATTCATTGATTTATAATAATATGATTTTTTGGGAACTGAATCATTTATTAATGTATAAATGAATTCAATTGGAAAATAATGTCTACTTACAATAAGATTAGAATTGAGTGGAAATTTATCATAAGTTAATAGATTATCCATAACTCCATAAGCACTTTATCCTGTAAGTACAGAAGGTGTTTATTATATGAGAGTATTATTTTCTTATAGATTCTTTTATGATTATCAATAAGTGAAAAGTGAAAAAGATTATTTAGTTTTTGATAAATTTGAATGGACAGCTGAAGATTTATGGAAATCCATTAGATTTTAATTATTTTATTAAAGTGGAAACAAAAAGGAAAATCATACTCTATTAGCAGATTATTAATTATAAGCAATAGATTTATTATGGAAGAATAAAGGATATGTGATAAGAGAAAAATGTAGATTTATAATAAAGAAAGAATAAAAATATAATGTGGACACACCTATAAAAGTGATAAAAGATTTAGATTAACCTAAAGTTTTTGTTAAATTTACTCCATTATCAATATAATTTCAATAAAATTCTTAAGATAATGCATAAGTAGAAGGGTTTGCATTATAATTACATCATATTTCGAATGATACAATAGCTAGATTAGAAGATAATTTAAATTTTGAATATAATGGAAATGTTATGGAATTTGATAGAACTGAGAATAGTGTTTTGAAATATCCTGTATCAACATAATTAACAAAATTATAATTAGATATTAGCATGATTAAATTAATTAAATAGGAATTAAGAATAAATTAATTTGTTATTCCTGTAGATTTAAAATAATTAGATGCTATATAATATGTAGAAATAAGAAATGATATTCCAATGATATTAAAGTATCGAAGATAAATAATACAACATATGAGATTATCACATACATCTATATATGATGTTTCAATAACAAATATTGGAATATCTAAATAAGATTTAATTAATTTAAAATTTTATGTAGGTACAACAACATTAATTAATTATCCTTGGGTTAAAGATGGAATACTTGAATAATAATATAAAGAAAGTGTTTAACCAATATTATTTTAATTAGATGAAATAGATACATGTTTAGAATTTGTCTTATTTACTGAAGTAATGATATTTAGAAGACATGTAATAAATATTAGCACAATATAATTTATATATAATGAAGAATAATAGATAGGAACTTATGATTTAAATTTAGATGAATTTAAATGTTAAATTATTATTAAAGAATCAAGTGAATAATTTAAAGCAGACTCAATAAATGTATCATTTAATACTTTAACTAAATTGAAACATATGGCAGGCAAATTTATAAAATATAGATTTAGTTATAATTTTGAATGTAAAGAATTCTCTAGTTAATTAAAATATACATTTTTTACATCTATATCATCTTATATAGCTTCTATTTTATAAAGAAATGAAGGATAAACTGAAGGAGAATATGAATATACAATTATTATTCCTGAAAGAAAGAAATTTCCTAGAAATCATTCTGTTGCAAAAGTATTTTTAGGATCTAAAGAATTATATCTTGTTAGACATTAAGAAACAAGGGCAGAAGATATGGAAACAATTTTAGAGACAAAAATAAAAATTAGAAATATTTATATTTTAAGTACATAACCTACTTAAAGTTTTACATGTCTTACTAAAGAAGGAAAAATTATTGAATTAGATACAGAATATTTAGTATATAAATAGATAAAGACTTAATTTACAATAGGCAAATTTGAGATTATGATATATAGATTATTGAAAGATATTGAAAAAGATTATTAAAATAAATATATTGGACCTGATTTAAGATTATGTTTAAAATATAATAAATAAAAATATTGGATTACAAGTATTAATGATTAAGGACTTATGATTGATGGAGAATTTTAGAAATGTGAATTTTATGTTAGTAATGTTACAGATCTATTAAAGATATAATTATATATTCATGATTATTTAGTTGCTGAAAATGAATATTGTGTACCTTTATTAAAAGAATAATTTATTTAAGAATTATAGAGAATATTATATAAATCTAATGATTTAATTAATCATTTTCATTAAAAATTAAAACTTAAAAATATTTGGATAATGGGTAGATGTAAATTTTAAAAATAAAATTGGGTTAAATTGTTTCTTAAATTTCATAAATTAATTATAAAATTAGATGAAGAAGAAGAGAAATAATTAAGAAGTTATTCATTAATAGTATCTAATAAATAATTAGAATGGATATCAAAAGTATATTCAACTTCAAGAAATAATACAGAAATTGATTTTTATGATGAAGAAATAGTTGATTAAATAATCTTACCTGGAGAGGAAGATTAATCTTATTTTAAAATGTAAGTAAAAATGAATGGTGATATTCTTGCTGAAAAATTATTAGTCTTAAAACCATTTGTTGTAAGAAATGTATCTAATTTTCCTTTTGAATTCAAAATTAATGATAAAGTATCTGTTACTACTACTATTGAAGTATCATAAAAATTTAAAAGTGATAATTTAAAAAAATAAATACCAGAAGAATATAAATTTGATTTTAGAAAAACTAGTTATGAGGAAATGGTAATAACTATGTTAAATTTTAAAGGCATATTTGATAAAATTCTAAAAGAAATATTTGAATTTCTTATGTATAATTTACCTAATAAATATGAACCTTATAAACTATTTAAAGTATGCAAAGCTATATTTTGTATTCATAATAAAAATCTTACTTTAAGTTGTTATTCAACTCAATGTATGTCTACTATTTATTTGTCTCATAGTGATTAACTTATGGGACAAATTAATCATCTATTATTAATGTAATAATTACAAGATCTTGTAATTGCTAAGAATAAAGAATTTAAACCACTTATCAATATACCATATTATGATGAATATCTACCTACTTCTGTTAATACTATTAAAAATTTAGATTTAACTGAAGGTGAATTATTTGCATATCTTAAAGCCAATTTTCATAAAGTAAAAGAAGATCTATTTCAAGAATCAAGAGATAAACATTCAGCTAAAATTACATTCAGTTGTATGAAAATTTTGGAAACCTTACTTTAGAAAAATCAATAACCAGGATTAGAAATATTAACCAATTTACCTATTTTAACTGAAGCATATAAATAATTTGATGATTATGAAAATAAAATTGGAAATATATTCACAATCTTAATCAACACTTTAATCAAATTCTATACAAATCAAGAAAATGAAGTAGAAATTACTAAATTAATTAATTCCAATTTCTATCTTCTACTTTAAGTATTTTTTGAAACTATTGAAAAAGCTAGTTAATAATAATTCATAGCTATATTATTGACTATGCATAGTATAATAAAGATTATTAATTAAGATTAATTATAATTCCTTAAATTAATCTTAAAATATCTAATCAGAAGTCTTGTAGTATAATAAGATCTTGAATTACATATTGGAGTAGCAGTTGAATATTTCTAACCAAATTATCAATCAATAATTAAATAGGTTTTATCAGAAATTTCCTTAGAAAATATTGCTTTAAAAATAATTCAATAAGAGTTTTAAAATAGAAAATAGAGCAATGTTCTATCTAATTTATTTGACATGATAATCTAATCTATAGAACTAGGTGTAGAATATGTAAATATTTTATTTTAATATTTTAGCCTTATACTGAATTATAAGATTATATTAAAAAAGTATAACCAAAACATGAATCAAATAAAATAAAAGTTGAAAAGTTTATGTAATTTATGAGCAAAAGATCAGAAAGAGAAGAAAAATTGAAATAATTAAAAGAATAGAAACAACAAACATAAACAATTGATGAATAAAAGAAAAGAGTAATGGATAGATTCATGATTTCCAAACTACCTTGGTGAAATTGGTTATTAATATAAATTTTATATAAACCTAAGATGATAAATTAATCTATTATTATTATCATTAGTAGTCTCATTTCTAAATAAAACTTAATTATATTGATCTTGAATATTTGTTATATTTAATATAATTATTAAAATTAAAAAAGAGGAGAGATTTAAATGGAGAGAACATATTAAAATAGAATTATAGCATCTGTTTTAGAATTGAAATAGATAAAGTCTATGAAAAAGCATATATTTTAGATTTAGTCTTTTTTCTTATTTTACATTTATAAAATGATCAAAGAAAATCAGGTGCAATTGAACCATTCTTTATTTTTAAATGAACGAATGCTCCATTCTTAGGTCTATTTAAACCTTCAGCCCATGATCTAACTAATCCAGCAATCTAATCAGGATTAGCCCATTTGCTAAAATCTTCTTTTGGCATTGCTTATCTATTAGCAGGTGTATCAATAGTTTCTCTAAAAATTATAATAAAATTATACGGCAATAGTGTTATTACAGCAGAGTCTTCTGGTAAATGAGTACTTACAGCAGTCTAAATTGCTAGAGTATGAACAGCTGTCTTTGCCAAAGCATACCCAATCATACTTGGTGTTGGTGCATTAAATACCGAATAAGCACCTGTAAAGATAAGCAAACCCTATCTAGATAATTATGTAGTAGCTAAATGACTGCAGACAAGAGCTGGTACTACACTCTTTTGATTCATATCTTCATAAACTTAAAGAACATTTTCATCTTTTATTGATCCTCCTGTCCATCCACCAGCTACACAAACTATGCAATTAAATTTCTCTATAAGTATATATATGTTAATAAATACCAAGTGTATTTAATTCAGATTTCAGAAAATTGATATCATTTGCATTCTTAATAATAATATTGTCACATTCTTCATTCTTATTGAAATCAACACTTGTCACTTTCCATCCTTTAAATACTTTAACCATTGAACGACCTAATGCTCCTGAACCACCAAAAATTAAAGCTTTCATTTAATTAAATCAAATAAAAAATAATAATGGTTATTATCAATTAGATACATCCAATTGTTTTTATTAGCTAAATAGGGTATCCTTAGAAGTAGGAATAGAATATGATAATTTTATTGAATAATTATCCAAAAATAGAATTTATCTGATAATAACTTGATATATATTGAGTGTTGAAAAATGAGATTTTAATATTATGCAATACTTTTCTTTTTGAGTTATTTTTATATTTTAAAAATTAGAAACAAAACTTAGTTATTATTATATTGTACTTATTTAATATTTAATTTCTTTACTAATTAATTAATTCTTTTATATCTACTTATAATTATTTGATAAACTCTTTATAACTTATTTAATATTTTTATTGAGTTTTTTTTATGAATCATAATGATTATGAAGATCATAAATATACTTTTGTAATTTAAATCCTTATATAATTTAATAACAACTTATTTATCTAGTTCTCAGTTAATTTTATTAAATATTTAGATTACTTAATTAAGTTATTATAGAGTTATTTATTTAAATTCTAAATGATATTTAATTTTTGTAAATTATTCATAAATACCTGTTTTTTATTCCTTATTTAGATGATAATTTTTATTTATTAAATAATTTAGTGATAATCATTCTACATGAATTGTCAATCCATAATAAATAATTTCAATTTATAATATTAAAATAAATGGGATGCATAACATCAAATGGGAATAAAAAAGTAAATAATTTCACTATGTACAGTTAGAAGATATGAAATAAGGATTTATGATTAGAATTCAGCATCCAGATAATAAGACAGAAAAATAATATAAATATTTCGATGAAAAATAGAAAAGTGATTTAATAATGAATGTCATGAATGGAATTTGTTTTAGTGAAAAAGTTTCAGATAAATGCGATGGAAATTTTATTTCTCTTTATGATCCAACAGATGATAGATTTCATTACTACATCTAAAAATTAGACGGTATAATGTTGGAAGCTTAAAGTACTTAGGGATAGAAATAGATAACCCAAATGAACCTCTAAAAGGGAAAATTTGGATTCCTTATATTAATGAAAAAAGACATGATTGGGACACACTTGTTGAGAATAATATTAGAATATCAATAACTGACCACTTATTATGGAAATTAGAATATTTAAAAAAATGAATATATATGTTTTAATTATTATCTTTATATCAAGAATGATTGAAATTGGATGATACTATTATAATCGTCCTTAAATATATATCATTTATTTACTTCCAATTTCATATTTTATTTTGATTTTTAAACTTAATTTAATAGATGAATTAAACATTTTAATTTTCTAATCCTATTTATATAATCTAATTATCAATATTTAAATACTAATGAATTTTCAAATTCTAATTAAAAACCATTTGAGAATTTTAAATCTTGTTATCATCTAGTATAAATTAATTAAATTTAAATTGAATTATGTAGAAAAATAGTTTCAATTTTCTTAAGACCTAATAAGTAATATAAACTTATAATTCTTATTATATTATAAGATATTGATATATTAATTAATAATATCAAACATAATTCTAAATGTACATAGTACATATATCACATCTTAAAGAAAATATATTATTGGTCTATAAATAATTTATTAATTATTAATCAAATCATCTATTCTCATATCCCTAACCTAACTATGAATATTTAATTTTTTATATCCCTTTTATTAATTTTTACTTGTATGATTTGAAATCAGATTATAGATTCAATAATATCTAATCAAAGTTGAATTCTTATTAAGATTATTTATTAATGTATTATTTTTTGTAAATTATTATATAAATAATTTATATGTTTAATTCTCAAAATATTATTTAAACAATTAGAAAAAATGCCATCTATTATGAACTTTTATGTCAATATACTTTTAAATATTCTCTTTCTAATCTTGGATCATTAAACTGATTTTTGCAAAGTTCTAATAGTTTAAATTTTTTAAAGATTCTTTAATTTAAATTTTGTAATCAACTTTCTTAGTTTTCTATTTAAATCTTAAAGACGTAAGGATATAATTAAAGTTCATATGTAAGAATAATTGTTATGTTTGTATTCCCACTTAAAGATTTTGATAACAACTGAATAAGTTTTGGATCAATTGAAAGTACAAATGATTCCCACTTTTAACAATTTTTATTACTTTACTTAAAATAAAAAGACTCTTATAATGTATTCTATCTCATTTGAAGGATAAATGACTCATATCATATAATATTATAGTGTTTGTTTAGTTTTAATACTTTCAAGCTTCTTAATATAAAAATTTATAGAAGTAATTTAACCCTGAAAAATATTTTAATTGCTTAATTGATTTCAACAAAGTATTATACATTAAAAATATTAATAATTATCTTTAACAATTTATAAAAATGTTAATGTTAAAATATATGTTTTTTAAAGCGTAAAATCCAGCTTATTTGAATGATGATTCAATTTTAATCCTTTAAATTTATAGATAAGTTGATTAATATTAAATTAATGTTTATTTGTTGTAAAACAAAGAATAAAAAGATCAAGTATAATAACCCTTTATTATATTTATTTAGATAACCAATCAATAATGATTCTGAAGTAAGATCTTTCGGTAAAGAAAACGAATAACAAGAAAAAGTTGTAAATCAAGACCAGGATTCCCAATAAGACCAAAAATCATAACAAGCTAACCAAACTGAAGAAAGTCAAGAAGAAATTTAAAACGTAGTGAATCAAATACGAGCCTAAAGAGAATAAGGATAGATCAAAGAGAGGTATACTCTTATATATAGTCAGTATTGATTTAGAAAAAGTGTTTGTGAATGGCTTACTTGCAGAAGATCTTCCTATTGTTTATTTTATTGAATATCGTTGGGCTTTACATTATACTGGATTTCTGGGAGGAAAGAAGAAAGTTATGCCTAAGGAGATAAACAACAATAAAATATTGACAGTTGAACACAAAATAAATGATACAATCCATATCACTATAGACAATGATCCATAATTACAACCTGGTATTCAACCAGAAAGACATTATTCACTTTTAAATGAAAAGGCTTGGAAGTTTATTCATCTTCTATATGGAGGTGGACCTACAATAACAATTGATTTGGATAATGCCAAATTATAAACTCCATAAAATGAAAAGGAAGAATCACAAGTTCTTTAAGATAAAGAATGTTTAATAGCTCAACCAATAGATAAAATAAATGATGATCCAAGTAATTTTAATCCTTTACAAATTGGAACCTAATTAGAGCTTATTAATGATGCAGCGACTCATGTAACTGCTACAACAATTTTACCTTTAAAAATGCCAACAGATCCTCAAATTGATATTAGGTTTTCATCCAATAATATTGAAGATATTGATAGCACTGCTATAGAAAACAATTCTAATTAAAACTTAACTGGCAAAACTAAAAGGATTAAAATTTTTACAAAGATTCCAATAGATTTACCAATTATAGGTTTTAATAATCCAAAGTATAATTGTTATATGAATGCTGTACTACAATGTTTATTAAGTATTACCAAATTTAATAATAAAATTCTTAAAATTCAAAAACAAAAGGATAGGTAATTTACATCAGCCTATCAAGATCTAATCAAATTAATATAAGGAACTATTCCTGGAAGTTCAATTACATTGGATTTATTGTCTTATATTTGTTAATAGAAATTTAAAGTTACTTAGTAATAAGATTCTCATGAATTTCTTTTATTTTTATTATCATAAATCTAAGAAGAATTAATTGGAAAGAAAAATATTGAAAAAAAATAAGAATTAGAAGCATGGGAAGTTTATAGAGATAGAAATCCAGATATTATAACTGAATTATTTACTGGGCAAATTGTCATTAAAAATTACTGTTTAAAATGCAAAAAGATATGTGAAGTTTTTGATCCTATATTGGATCTTAATTTACCTATATAAAATGTAAGTGGATTATAAGAAATAAAATTAAATGAATGTTTAAATGGTTATTTTAGA